GCTTTTTATTCTGTCGGTGCACACAGAGTACCTTTTTTTGCAAATGTATTCCAATGTAGTTTTTATACTGCACATGGCTAATAAAATGAATCTGAATCTGAATCTGAATCAATCTGGACGTGAGCGTATCCAGAAGATACGGCGAGTCCGGAGGTGGTGTAAATTTTACACCCATCTCAACCTTCATCACAACACGCCAAAATACGCATGAAATTCAAGATTTGGACAACAATAAACATGTTCCCAGTCTGGAAAATGTATATGCTGCATTTTCATTGCGCATCATGTTTTAAAATTGGCGCATCAGAAAAAGTCTGATGGAAACACGTAAACTTTGAATACATCACAGTTCATGATGAGGAGCCTCTTCTGTTTCTTTGTTTTAAAATCTGACTTGTTTGTGTATTATTTTCATCTGTATGATTTTTTTTTTATTTGAAGCGCTTTGTGATCCTGGTCTGTGAAAGGCGCTATACAAATACACTTGACTTACTAACACTACAGGGATGTGTGACCATCTATTGCTCTGTAAATCTGTGGTAGACCCTGCGCTGCGTAATTAGGCATGGCTATTTGTTTTTCCTCATTCACCTTTTCTGCCTAAGAATTGCCAATATATTTGTTATGGATTTTTTTCAAGTGAAACAGCATTCTTCACAAAATACCAAACATGTTTTTTTTTAAAAAAAACAACGTTACTCCTCCCTCTGGTGGTCGCACAGGAAATTACCATCAGAAAGCACTTTTTACCCTTTTACTCGCTTTTATTCATTTGTAGTCCTATTTATTTTCCAGTTCAGATTTTATTTCACATCTCCAAACATGAAATGGCAAGTAAATAGTTTCAATATCAGCTTTAAAAGCCAAAACGAATTCGCAATATGTATTCTTTAAATACATACAAATCGGCACATGTGCTCTGCCATCTCTGATACTATACAGTAATAACAAACACACATATAGGAGCCAATGGTCCATAGGGGGCAGATGACTATAGTTATATTGATCTATATATGTTTCTATGAGCTCCATAAACACAGGGATCTTGGACACCTGTCAGCACCAGCTCCTCTGCCGTGTTTGTGCCCCACCCTCCCCCCACAACAGAGAGACATGAATGGAATAAATGCAAAAGTCAAGCTGTGAAAAGCGGGCATTAAAATTCCCATCACGTGACAAGTGCTGCGCGTACAGGTGTCTTCTGGGAGAGCGTTTTGTGTTTTGTGATCCGCTCAAAAAAACACCGTTAAAACGGGCTGAGAAAATAAAAGTTAAACTGTGCCATTGTCGTGCTGCGAGAGCTCACAGGGAGGGAGTGGTTCCTTCAGACAGTCAGAGAGAGACCGGGGGAGACTGGGAGAGACTGGGGGAGACTGAGCTGGGTCGACACTGCCCCCACATGGAGGAACAGAGAAGGGCACACCAGAACAGAGACACAGCGCGGCGTGGATTAAAGCTGGGGTCCCTGATTCTCAAACCAAGAAATATGTTTGAATCTCATTTCTTTCTCGTTTCAAAACCACTGGCATTACAATCCACATGTGTAAGATCTCTGCATTCATGGAGAGCATAGAGAAATACATAGATCCATATAAATGCTCTTATGTGTGTTTGTTATTATTGCAACTGCCTCAAATTCAACTTCTTGTATCAGTGATGGCGGGACACATTTTGTATGTATTTAAAAGAATAAATAGTATGCATTAGTTTTGGCTTTTAAGAACGATATTGAGACAATTTATTTGCCATTTCATGTTTTTAAAGGTGAAATGTGTAAAATCTTAACTAGAAAATACATAGGACTATTAATAATCTCTGCTTACCTTTTGTGTGCGTCCTGAACTATGAGCGTCTTTGAGTTCTTGAAAGCGCTATATACAGTGGGGCAAAACAGTATTTAGTCAGCCACCCAAGTTTTTCCACTTAAAATATTGACAGAGGTCTGTAATTTTCATCATAGGTACACTTCAACTGTGAGAGACAGAATGTGAAAAAAAAATCCAGGAATCACCTACTGTGAAGCATGGGGGTGGAAACATCATGCTTTGGGGCTGTTTTTCTGCTAAGGGTACAGGACGACTGATCCGTGTTAAGGAAAGAATGAATGGGGCCATGTATCGTGAGATTTTGAGCCCAAACCTCCTTCCATTGAGTTGAATTTCTGTTATTGACCAAATACTTATTTTCCACCGTAATTTACAAATAAATTCTTTAAAATTCCTACAATGTAAATTCCTGGATTTTTTTTTCACATTCTGTCTCTCACAGTTGAAGTGTACCTATGATGAAAATTACAGACCAGTGTCATTATTTTAAGTGGGAGAACTTGCACAATCGGTGGCTGACTAATACTTTTTTGCCCCACTGTATATTCAATGTATTATTATTATTACCTAAGTGTGTGTGTGCGTGTGTGTGCGCGTGCGTGTGTGTGTGTTTGTTATTATTGCTTTTCCTGTGATTGAAACCGTTTGACTTTCTGATCTGGTGTTGGCGAATCGATCTCTTTGCAAAGCCCTGGGAGATTAAACACAACTCCTTTAAGGTCACGGTGTACCTTTGTAATGTTCTATTCTTGAATGGTTTGTGCGTCTTGAAATGCCATATATTGTCAAGTAAACCATGTAACTTTTAGAATGATGTATGTACATGTATGTGTTTGTATATGGATGGATGTGTTCAGTCTTCACATAATTGCATAAAAACACCATATTTGCCTCCCTAAGCTGTGACTTATTATCGACTTCCCGGCTCATGGTTCCGTGTGGGAGGCCGGTGGGTGGAGACCTCACAAAATCACACTTATCTTTTGAAAGCACAAATCAAAGCCTTGAAATCAGTGTGAAATAACAGAGTAATGAAGTCCTGCAGGTAAACACAGGAGAGTGCGACAGTGGCCCCGGGCTAAGACCCCCCCACCCACAGCGCTCAGTGGGGGGCGGGCAGTGATGACAGGGCTCAGGAGGCTCCAGTGGGGGCTGAGTTTGGGTTAGGGTTAGCTTTCATCTTCACTGTGTCCCATAATCACAGGTACGGAGCGTCCAATTCTCTCACTGAGACGAGAGCGCGGTGGCTGAGTGGTTAGCACTCTCGCTTCTCAACAAGAAGGTCCTGGGGGCGAATCCCGGTCGGAACAGGGCTTTTCTGAGTGGAGTTTGCATGTTCTCCCCGTGTCTGCGTAAGTTTCCTCCAGGTGCTCCGGTTTCCCCTACCACTAAAAACATGCACACTAGGTCTGGCATGTGCCTCCTGTACTGGCCCCGCTCCCATCTCTGTGTGGAGTCAGACCACAAGTGTAGACCGCTTTGTGACTCTGGTGTGTGAAAGGCGCTATATAAATAAAGATTACTGACTTACTCGAGACCATGAGGAGCAGCGTCAGGGTTAAGCATCCTGGTTTTCAACAATCACACTGAGGCACTGGGATGTTCTTGTGTCCTTTGGCAACACACTGGTGGTGGTCAGAGATCAGGTGAGAGCAGTGGATAAGGGTTAGGGTTACATACTGTATTTAAAGTAGGGGTGGGAACCTAAGGGTACTTCACGATACGATACGATACACGATACAAAGCTCACGATAACGATTTTATCACGATATGACGATTATTGATATGACGATTATTGATATATTGGTCAGAAATATACAATATGCCAATTTATGGCATAAATAAAAGAAAAAATACACGTTATTTCATGATAAATGGAATGGAGATGCGTAATGTAGCCGTATAATAAGTATTGATACCAATTTTTAAAAAAATAAAAAATTGTAAACAAACTATTTTTTTTTTGTTTTTTTCTGTTTTTGTTTTTCAAAATCGATAATGATACTTGGCAAATGCATATTGATAATCGAATCGCGGTAGAAAGTATCGCGATATATCGAAAAATCGATATATCGTCACACCCCTCAAGACTCAATTCTAAGGTGTGTTTGTGAAATGTGCTTTATCTCACCTGTCATCATGTCTGCGCTCTCTCCTCCATCATGTCTGTGCTCTCTCCTCCATCATGTCTGTGCTCTCTCCTCCATCATGTCTGTGCTCTCTCCTCCATCATGTCTGTGCTCTCTCCTCCATCATGTCTGCGCTCTCTCCTCCATCATGTCTGTGCTCTCTCCTCCATCATGTCTGCGCTCTCTCCTCCATCATGTCTGCGCTCTCTCCTCCATCATGTCTGTGCTCTCTCCTCCATCATGTCTGCGCTCTCTCCTCCATCATGTCTGTGCTCTCTCCTCCATCATGTCTGTGCTCTCTCCTCCATCATGTCTGTGCTCTCTCCTCCATAATGTCTGCGCTCTCTCCTCCATAATGTCTGCGCTCTCTCCTCCATCATGTCTGCGCTCTCTCCTCCATCATGTCTGTGCTCTCTCCTCCATCATGTCTGCGCTCTCTCCTCCATCATGTCTGCGCTCTCTCCTCCATCATGTCTGCGCTCTCTCCTCCATCATGTCTGTGCTCTCTCCTCCATAATGTCTGTGCTCTCTCCTCCATCATGTCTGTGCTCTCTCCTCCATAATGTCTGTGCTCTCTCCTCCATAATGTCTGCGCTCTCTCCTCCATCATGTCTGCGCTCTCTCCTCCATCATGTCTGTGCTCTCTCCTCCATCATGTCTGCGCTCTCTCCTCCATCATGTCTGCGCTCTCTCCTCCATCATGTCTGTGCTCTCTCCTCCTCACATGTCTGCACTCTCTCCTCCATCATGTCTGTGCTCTCTCCTCCATAATGTCTGTGCTCTCTCCTCCATAATGTCTGTGCTCTCTCCTCCATAATGGTCTGTGCTCTCTCCTCCATCATGTCTGTGCTCTCTCCTCCATCATGTCTGTGCTCTCTCCTCCATCATGTCTGCGCTCTCTCCTCCATCATGTCTGTGCTCTCTCCTCCATCATGTCTGTGCTCTCCTCCATCATGTCTGTGCTCTCTCCTCCATCATGTCTGTGCTCTCTCCTCCATCATGTCTGTGCTCTCTCCTCCATCATGTCTGTGCTCTCTCCTCCATCATGTCTGCGCTCTCTCCTCCATCATGTCTCGCTCTCTCCTCCATCATGTCTGTGCTCTCTCCTCCATCATGTCTGCGCTCTCTCCTCCATCATGTCTGCGCTCTCTCCTCCATCATGTCTGCGCTCTCTCCTCCATCATGTCTGCGCTCTCTCCTCCATCATGTCTGTGCTCTCTCCTCCATCATGTCTGCGCTCTCTCCTCCATCATGTCTGCGCTCTCTCCTCCATCATGTCTGCGCTCTCTCCTCCATCATGTCTGCGCTCTCTCCTCCATCATGTCTGCGCTCTCTCCTCCATCATGTCTGCGCTCTCTCCTCCATCATGTCTGCGCTCTCTCCTCCATCATGTCTGCGCTCTCTCCTCCATCATGTCTGCGCTCTCTCCTCCATCATGTCTGCGCTCTCTCCTCCATCATGTCTGCGCTCTCTCCTCCATCATGTCTGCGCTCTCTCCTCCATCATGTCTGCGCTCTCTCCTCCATCATGTCAGTGCTCTCTCCTCCATCATGTCTGCGCTCTCTCCTCCATCATGTCTGCGCTCTCTCCTCCATCATGTCTGCGCTCTCTCCTCCATCATGTCTGCGCTCTCTCCTCCATCATGTCTGTGCTCTCTCCTCCATCATGTCTGTGCTCTCTCCTCCATCATGTCTGCGCTCTCTCCTCCATCATGTCTGTGCTCTCTCCTCCATCATGTCTGTGCTCTCTCCTCCATCATGTCTGTGCTCTCTCCTCCATCATGTCTGTGCTCTCTCCTCCATCATGTCTGCTGCTCTCCTCCGTCATGTCTGCGCTCTCTCCTCCATCATGTCTGCGCTCTCTCCTCCATCATGTCTGCGCTCTCTCCTCCATCATGTCTGCGCTCTCTCCTCCATCATGTCTGTGCTCTCTCCTCCATCATGTCTGTGCTCTCTCCTCCATCATGTCTGCGCTCTCTTCTCCATCATGTCTGCGCTCTCTCCTCCATCATGTCTGCGCTCTCTCCTCCGTCATGTCTGTGCTCTCTCCTCCGTCATGTCTGTGCTCTCCTCCGTCATGTCTGCGCTCTCTCCTCCATCATGTCTGTGCTCTCTCCTCCATCATGTCTGTGCTCTCTCCTCCATCATGTCTGTGCTCTCTCCTCCATCATGTCTGTGCTCTCCTCCGTCATGTCTGCGCTCTCTCCTCCATCATGTCTGTGCTCTCTCCTCCATCATGTCTGTGCTCTCTCCTCCATCATGTCTGTGCTCTCTCCTCCATCATGTCTGCGCTCTCTCCTCCATCATGTCTGTGCTCTCTCCTCCATCATGTCTGCGCTCTCTCCTCCATCATGTCTGCGCTCTCTCCTCCATCATGTCTGCGCTCTCTCCTCCATCATGTCTGCGCTCTCTCCTCCATCATGTCTGCGCTCTCTCCTCCATCATGTCTGCGCTCTCTCCTCCATCATGTCTGGCTCTCTCCTCCATCATGTCTGTTCTCCTCCATCATGTCTGTGCTCTCTCTCCTCCATCATGTCTGTGCTCTCTCCTCCATCATGTCTGTGCTCTCCTCCATCATGTCTGTGCTCTCCTCCGTCATGTCTGCGCTCTCTCCTCCATCATGTCTGCGCTCTCTCCTCCATCATGTCTGCGCTCTCTCCTCCATCGTGTCTGCGCTCTCTCCTCCATCATGTCTGCGCTCTCTCCTCCATCATGTCTGCGCTCTCTCCTCCATCATGTCTGTGCTCTCTCCTCTTGTGGCCTCGAGAGACGACGTCATGTTCCAACTATAGACTGTAAATATCCATCTCGGTTGTTGAAACTATGTGCCACCACTGTTGCCTTCTGTGTCTATGTCCCATTTATTTAACGAGTGCATTCAAAAGTCCACAGCGGCTAAACTAGACGGGTCCAAAAAAAAAATACTCCTCAGCATCGACTGATTATATTTGTATTGGTTTTTACTAATTCACTCGTTTTTAACACTAAAAGCTGTGTGTGTCATTCTTTTTTCATACTTTATTGTGTCCCTTTTGTTTGTCCCTGCATGTTGTGTGTCCCTGTATGTTATGTTTCTCTTTGTATTGTGTCTCTATGTGTTGTGTGTCATCTCTTTCTATGTGGTGTCTATGTTGTGTGTTCCTGTGCGTTGTGTGTCTATGTGTCCCTGTCTGCCCCTGTGTGTTGTGTGTCTGTGTGTGTCCTTGTGATAATAATAGGTGCAAGTGTAGCTTTTGTTGAGGCTGTGTGCGTCTGATCCGACAGAATAAACAAACTTATATTTCCTAAGAGAATATTTGTGTGTCCTGAAGTCTCCCACGTCTACACAACATCCTTCACTGACAACACAAGCGCTCTGACCTGAAAACAGACGCACAATTGTCCAGTCGTTTCCACGGTAACGCTCTCCTCTTCTCCGAGTCTGTTCTGAACATTTTCCCTCAAGAATCTATTGAACTTTGTTGTTTTGAAGACGATATTCAGCCAGAGGTGATTCCAGAGTTGAACTGGTGCAAGACTAAAACACAGTCTACATTTGTGTGTGTAGCTGTTGTGACGACGGGGAAGGGTTCGGGGAATCAGAAAAAAATGCTCAAAAGAATAAAAGGTTTTTATTACGACAATATTCAAACAGTGCACTGCGAAAAACGATCAAATATAAGGAATACAAGGGTTAAATTAAGCGGGTTTTTTAATCTGACTGTGTTCCAACAAGATTTTTCCACTGAGACAAAGCCACTTACACTAAAAAAAGTAAACTCTTGGTAAGATTTATTTACTAAAAATAACATCCAATATGCTAATTTTCTAAATGAGCGTAGCACGTAATTGTTTATTTGCTTGAATGTAGTTTGTCACGTAAGATTATTTTGACTAGTTTTAAGATACTTCATAATCTTAATAGAGAAAAAAGTGTGAGCAGTGAGTCTGACGCTTTTCTGTTTTTTTTTAGATAAAATAAGTTTGTTATGCTCTATTTTAAGAAAACATTTCTCAAAAATTATATAGAAATAAGTAAATAATACTTGAAATGTATGTTTTTACGCTGGAGTCAATTCATTTGGGGCTGGTATTATTTTCTTATTTTCAGAAATCTTGTCAAGTCATATTTTCTTGTTCTATTGGCAGATATGAACGGCTTATTAAACGAGCGCTCGGTCTGTACATAAAGACCAAGGTATGATATTTCTTCGTACAGACCGAGCAAGCGAGATTAATAAATGTTTAATTATATGTCTATTTTTAATTTATGCAAATATCGATCGGTTTCAACTAGCAAAAACACATGCAACCAAACTGTTTAATGGTGACATGAAGAACTTGCTCAATCTCTTTTGTGTCTTTACCAATGCTTTTTAGATATTTGTGAAGTATGTTCATGTCCGACTTGGTTTTCCTAATCGTGGTTTTAGCTTTCTGGTCTGTAAATCTGGTCTGTCAATTTCTTCTTGACTGTTACAAGTCGTGTTTTTGTCGTTATTTGCTGTTATTACTTCCTCTGGCTCATTCGAACTCGTCCGGATAATAGAATTCACTGAGAATGCTCCCAGTCGTCGCTCATTATTTATTTTTTACCGAGGAAAGATATCAAATCTGATATGCACTGCGGACCAATTGTCATGGTAACTGCCCGAGATGGGAAAATATCAGACCGGTAATCGGCCAATCAGAGGGCACGAACGATCTAAGTCATATAATAATATTTCTTATTTTAAGTAGGATTTAACTTATTTTCATACATTTTCTTTTCTTTTAAGGGGAATTTTTCCAGTGTGGTCTTAATTCAAGAACTGTCGCTTATTTTCTCATTCCAAGGGAGGCACTTCTTGCACATTACTGCTTTAATCCATTGACAAATTGTTTTAAGGCAGTCGGAATGTGCTCAAATTAAGGAACGTTTTGACCAATTATAGCAGAATTTGACTTATTTTGTATCCCTTTTTAGCAGTGTAAAAATGGAGGCTGAGACACAACAACCTGGAGCCAAAAAAGGAAAAAAATATATATATAATAGGAAATATATTAATCAAAAAAGACCCCAGTTCATAGAGACATACATCAGACACATCATAAATCATAAATCACAGATCCTTTGTGTTCTTTAGGTAATGTTCCTGAAGAAAGTCAAACTGAATCAATACTTTATAATACTCAAAAGTATTTAAGATAAGATAAAGGTTTATTAGTCTCACAGTGGAGAAATTTCAGTGTCATTGTTGCGCACATTACAGCAGAGAAAGGAAATAAGAGCACTCAGATTGCACACATCAAACAGTCTATTATAGACAATAAAATTAAGATAAGATGAAGAAGATAAAATGAGAAACTCTGGGCAATAATTGCACTTGGTTCGAAAGTATTTACAGATTTCTATATTATACATTAGCAGCGGAGTATGAGCAGAATAATCATCAGAAATAATAACAGGTAAAGTGACTTGAATGGGAAAATTATCAGATGGATATGAATAATACAGTAAGATATCAACAGGTAAAGTGACTGGTGAAAGGCAGAATTACCAGATATGTTATAATACAGTAGTACTGATAACAGGTAAAGTGACAAAGTTACTAGTGAATTATCAGTGACTGATTAGCAGTTCCTGTTACACATTCTCGTTGTACAGTCTGACAGCAGCAGGAAGGAAAGACCTATTATCCTTTATCCTGAAAAAGTTTTGATGTTTAGAGAATTTAAGGCCGTGGGAAGCATTTTGAACGTTTGATTAATATTCATGGACTGGGTTTGTTCCACACCGAGGAACAGCTGCTGTGGACTCAGGAGCCAGGTCCCAGTGAAATGAGTCGAGATTTTAAATATTGTGATGGTGGTTCTCTTTCATCTTGGGGCTCTAACGTTTCCCACATTTTTTCCCAGATTTCTTTGCTGATGCAGGTGGTGATGATACGGGATATTTATTCATATTTATAGACAGTGTTCCTCCCGCTCCCTCTGGACCAACGACTGCTATGTGTTAATTGAATTTGCACAACAGGGGGCGTAGACGAGCTTCTCCCTCTACAGTAAAAATGTCCAAACTAAGGCTGCAGACACAAGCACAACCTAAAGCCCTGGTAAAGTGGGCTGTTTTTAATGTTTTACTGTGAATTGATCCTTTGTGGAGTGGATCCCAGAAAGACTAGCGACCATATGTGGACGCCAACCCTAACCCTAACCCAAATAGCACCACCAGCTGGACCTAGCGTAGTACTACACTGCTTTTAGGCCGACACAATTGAAAAAATGAACCCTTCTGACCACAGGCCATCTTCACACCCCTGTGGCGACTATTCGGGCCACTTGGGGGCTCTTTTAGTTTTCATGTAAAGTGGCACAAATCACATTTGATTTACTGAAAAAAGTGCTGAGGTCAGATGTATAAATACAGACCAGTCTCCTCCACTTAAAAATGTACAAATTGTCCCAATGCGTTGCTTGTAGGGTCGCGATACTTTCTCCCGCGATTCGATTATCGATTTTTTTTTTTTTTTTACAAAGTTTTTTTTAAATTGGTATATCAATACTTAATATATGGCAACATTACGCATCGCCATTCCATTTATCATGAAATAAAGTATTTTTTCTTTTATTTATGCCATAAATTGGCATATTGTATATTTCTGACCAATATATCGATAATCGCCATATCGTGATATCGTATCGTATCGTGAGGTACCCTTAGGTCCCACCCCTCGTTGCTTGTATTTCAATTAGTGGCCCCCTGAGATAATAGTTTAGACACCCCTACAACAGGTTTATGTGAAATGACACTCGATGAAAAGGGTGTGAGTGAAAACATTTTACTGGCAGCAGGAGACAAACAGGTACAACACAAATACAAAAATAGGTTCCATTTGATTTCAAACACACTTAACACGGAGCAGAAGCAAAACTGTGAGAGGTGAAGATTTGCATCGGTGAGAAACCCAAGAGGCGGCAGATTCAGTGCTTTCAGAAGTATTATATTACCTGTACATGTTTATTCTTAGAAATATAAACTGCTATAAAAAAATAAAGTATCCAAAAACATTACAGTTTTGAGAGGCAAAAAAAGTTCTTGTGTTGACCCCGTTTCCACACGCCCTACTCAGATCTGATCCACTGGCACTGGTTAGCTAGTACCAGGTCCTTCTTTAGCCCCTCTTGGTCCTGGTTTAAAGTGTTATGACAGTGATTGACCCAAGTGCTGTTTTTGTTGTGATTTAGGGCTGTACACAAATAAATTGAATAGAATAGAGCGGAGTAGAGTAGGACAAAGTAGAGCTGGTGCAAACGGGGCTAAAGTCAAACCAGCCTGGGTCCATTCTGAACAGTTTCCATTGATAATTGAGGGCAGACTTTTGGGAAACACAGGACCAGCTTTTTATCTTTACAACGCGACTATATTAAGTTCTATGTTGTCAGTGCTCGGACAGTGTGTGAAAGAAAAGTTAATTCACATTCCTCAAAATCAGTTTGTCTGAATACATTTCCCAGCGTGTGCATTTATATAGGAGTGGACTGACAGGGGCAGACGTCACCATAGTGCTGACGATTTGAACATAAGCTAGCTGGAGATAATTTCTTAATATGGGCAGAGATGGTTGCTAAGGCATGCTGGGATTGACCTAGCAAATTAAGGCATACAAGACCAAGCCTTACATGGTTCATATCTGCATTTACATAGACAATATCACAATAAAAAGCCCAGGATCAAAGAGAGGCTAAACCACCGATTTTTTTGTGAGTGTGAGACCAACTACTGAGCTAAGAGTTTACGTTTAAAGTCAATAGAAGCCAAAATTCATCCTTGACCACTTCCCCATTAGGCGTCCTTGAGCTAGCGTTGCCTCATCTCTATACACAGTCTATGGTCAAGAAGTAAATATCTAGATTTAAAAAAAACATGTATATCAGACCAAACAAAAAACTGGAGAAGTAGGGAATGACATTGGAACATGGTGCAAAGTAATTGAAGGCACACTGGAGAAAGGAATAACTTATTTGGCAACAACACTGCCATTTCCACGACATCCTAGTCACAGTGCTGAAGGGGAGGGGCTAAGTATGTGTGTTTGCATTTGTCCCATAAGAGCCGGATATTAGCGTGGATGGAGCCACAAAACTGATGCATAATGTGTGTCAAACTGCCCTCGACTCTTGTTTAAACATGTACTAATCATGCACTAAAGCACACAGCGTCAAGAAAACTAATGAAATAGCACCATTCGGCATCATCAGCCCTAGATTACCCATTACTATACATCTCAAAGTTCATTGTACAATAGAAAAAGGTGCTATAGAGAGACAGACCTCCACTCGGTTTGGTTTCAGTCCATCTGTCGCTCCGCCGGCAGAGTTCCCATCATGCACCGCTCTGCCTGCTGGATTGGAGACACCTCATTTCACCAATATTGTCCACTCTTGGCCCGAATCCGCCACCGCAGCGCTGTAATGATGCTTGAAGGTAACAGGGGCTCGGAGTCGGGAGGCTGGACAGGTAGCACTTATCCAAGGACATCGGCGAACACGCAATAACGCCTCAAACTGTCCCATCAAGTCAGATACAGTCCCACACTATTGCAGTCTTTTACTACGACCGCAGGGACAAGAGGAAAATTACTTCACCGAGTCTTGTCAGAGCAGCCAACACCTGACACACTCTCTCTTTATCAAAAGAACTTCAGTCCTTTGCGAGTTCAGTCCCAGTTTGAGGAGTTGACGCCTGAACGACCTCTCAGGATCCGATTGCGATTGTTTTTGCATCTTCCAGAATCAACAAGGCATTTCACAACACAGGAGGGCTGGAATAACTTGCAGTGAAGCTGGTTTGTGATTGGAAAGAGACTTGTGATGCAGTCAAAGTCTAATTGTCTCATTTAAAATTATATTAAGATTCTTAGATAATCAACTTGTACTTGGCTCGGCGTTCAGACTGCGGCCACAATGATTCAAAATGGACTGATTTTGCCACTAGATTTTTCAATACATTTCATTACACAGTTCTATCTGTAGATATTGTAATAATATTTATTAACATTTATGGACAGCCATCATCCCACTCCCTATGAACCAATGGCTACTATGTGTTTATCATTTCATTTTCTGTGTTGAACCACTTTGGGCTATACAAAATTAAACTGAATAATAGACTTGTGTTATGTGCTGCCCTACCGTTTAAAGGAGAAGTAACATGCTGACAAACCTAATCATGGTTTTTATAGATTTCAAAACTGTCCCTTTGCTAGGCATTTGATATTCTGCTCTGTCGATTTATACTTCATAAATGTTCATTTAAGTCCATAACAAACAAAACAAAAGGTTAAGGCAATATGTCCAACATTTAAAAATGCCGGTGAGCAGCTAACGCCTTGGCAGCTAATGACAGAAATGAAGCACTGCAAATGGGGAAGACTGCATAAAGACAGAGAACCGGCATTACACTAGTCCAGTCTTCCTGAAAATGTACGACAGGCTTCTTTGACGATGTTAAAAACAGTTCTGTTTAGCTGTTCACTATTTTCAATGTACTGTGATTATGATTGTATTGCCTGGTTTGAATGTTTCCATTTAGTTTTCTTAAACAGTCTGAGTTGACTTGTGTATGAACTGCGCTATACAAATAAACTTGCCTTGCTATATCAAATTGAGTTGGTAACAGGGGCAGTAACTTCAAATGCTTTAAGCAAAAAGAGCAAAAATGTGAAATCTTTGCCGATTACCGACATCTAAACAGGTACATTAGTAATTTCCTACAAAGCAGCAGTAACATAGCAGTCTATGAGCATGTTACGTCCCCTTTAAGTACAGTACAATTCCTTCAATATTTGCGGTTACTGTTACTCTCCTAGACATTTAGGAACTAAAACATCCAATATGACCCTACAGTCCCGGCTCCAGCCCTCGGCCTCAGCGGCAGCCACAGTGGAAGTCTGCGTTGGGATCTCGCAGCAGTTTTTTGCGGTCGATGTGGAGGCAGTCGATGTGGAACCAGGCGTCGCACACGTCGCACTGGATCCACTGCACCGTGTCCTGCTGCGGGAGCTTACAGCGTGCTGCGGCACACGGCTCCACTGCGCTCACACTCACCTCCCCCTCCTCTTCATCCTCCTCCTCGTCATCTTCGGAGGAGGAAGAGGAGGAGCCAGAGGAGGAAGAGGAGGAGCTGGAGCTAGAAGAGGAGGAAGAGGGGGAGGGCAGCGAGGGCCGAGGGGGGAGAGGGTGTTTGCGAGGCCGGCCGCGTCTCTTACTGCAACAGAAGGAGAGAAAGGCGTTCTTCAAACTCTGATTGTGGGCGATACTCAAGATACTCGAGTAAAGTTGTTTGTGTCGATACTAAGACAGTGACATTACCAGGATTTTTGGGCTGTGTTCACTAGAGCTGCAACAGGAATCACAGTTCACAGTGGTTCTTTACCAGAGTGCAGATTTTGCAACATTGCAGAGTGTGCTCCTCGTGTCTACTCCAACACAGTCATAAAACCACCAGTACAACATGACTACAGTTTTGTTTTATTTCTTATTTAAAGTCAGAAGAACTTTTGTGGCTCATCTGCACCGCTGTCATTAGTTAAGAGGACTACAGCAGTCTCTGGTCCCTCCTGTAGTCCTCAGTCCTGCAGTCTCCTCTGCAGCTGCATTTCAGAGTATGCACGGTTTGTCGTATTAACTTCATAGACTGCAGAACAAATATATATTTTTTTTTTCTTTAAATCAAAGCTTTTGGGTAGGTAAGCAGCTAATCATTAGAAAACCCTGCGGCTCAGAAAGATCATCAATACAGCTCTGACAGCCGTCCAGGCAATCATGTATAATGAATATCATGTTTATAAGAAATTAAACTGATGAAACATGGCATTTATACTTTCATGACGGCCACAGCACCTCACACTCAGAGTCTGATCTCTGCTGGACTGAAGCTGCATGTTCTGATATTACTGTAATAACTACAGGTTTAAAAAAGGCCTTTTTCCAGTCAGACAAAAATTAATTAAAAACATTGATAATTGTGTTTATTAACATCCTCCATTGAATTTGGATGATTTAATTAATATGTACTTAATAAATACATTTGTTTCAACATCATTTTTGAAAATATAGGTTAATAAAAACACTGCTCTGACCCAGAGTGTGGGCTCAGCTCAAGTATCAAAATAAGATTTTAATAAATACTAAACTTATAAATCCATTATTGTTAGCCGGTGTTAGCATCACCTCGGAGGCTCTTACCCGGTGTGGTGGTGGAATCGGTTGAACTGCAGGCGGCTGCGCTCCTCGTTCCTGATGCGCACAGAGGGTGAGGCGCGGCTGTAGTTCTCTCCTCCAACCACCAGAGGGGAGAAGACGGGGGAGCTGTTGGCACGCCTCCTTCCCCTCGCCGCCTGCGGAGAGCGATGCACCGGCTTCCCTCTGATGGCGGCCATGTTTGGGTTTGCGACAGCCTGTACATGATAGGCTGTCCCCACTTCCTGTTTGAGGGACGCAGGGCTGCGATTGGTCGGCAGCAGGCGGCTGTTGGTCATGGCGCCGGTGAAGCTGCCAATCGTCCTGATACCAACAGGGAAAGGTTTGGCTTCCAGGGGGCGCCGCACCTCAGTGTGGACTTTAGTCTGAGGTAAAGATGCAGGAGAACTGAAGCCTTCAGAGTCAGACTTATAAAGACGTCTCCTTTTCTTCGCTCTGGATCGCTGTGGGTCGTCTGCGACTGCGGCCAAAGCTGAAATAACACAACACAACTTTAGAAACACACAACATAACAACCACAGGAAGTCTGTCTGCTTTCACTGAGTCAAATACTGCAAGTCTAAACTTCAAGCCCAGGGGCTGCATTAAGTCCTCCAGCCTTCAAATCTAGATCAATGGAGTTTTGTTTGAAGATTACAATTCCACAGAATCTAAATTGTGTTATTCCTACCCCCTCAAGTCTAGTCTGTGTTAAAACTGTTCCAATAGATACATTACATAACAACTTAGGTTACATTAACTTATTGTACAGGACTATCCTTATGATGAAGAGATGATTTGCCCCACAGTGGAGAAATGTCAGTGTTGCATCACTAGATACTAAACAGCAGGAATGAGGAGCACACAAGATGAGTGAACATTAACAATAACCTTACAAAAAAACTCACCTCCGCAGCCTCTGGACTCGTCTGAGCTGTCATCCTCCATCAGCACCGTGTGGGCAGACTTCCTCCGGCTCCGCGAGGCTGGAGGCTTCGAGGAGGAGGAGGTGAAGGCTGGAGGTGTGGAGGGGGGCAGCAGGGAGGAGAAGCCCACAGCCAGAGGGGGAGAGGCGGAGGAGCCGGGGTCTGACGCCGGGTCCGAGCCCAGACTCTGGCTCCTCTTGAAAGTCCAGGCGCTGCCCTTCATCTTGCTGAGGCTCCCGATGGAGTTGAGGATCACTGTGGCCCGGTTCAGGGACAGCTTGGACAAGTCCAGGTTCGCGGGCGGCTTTCGGTCTTGGTTCGTCCTGATGCGGTTCTGGAAGTCTGAGGAGAATGTCCCGCCCTAAAAACCACCACAAGAGACAGAATCAGGACCAGCTCTAAATCATCTCTAATAAATATCTTCTTTGAAAATCACTCCAAAAAAAAAATGTTTTACTGTTCCACAAGTCTCGTTTTCTTTTTAGAAAATTTTGAAATAATTGACAAAACTATGGATTTGACCGGTACATTTAACAGATATATAAATATTACTCTAACTATCCATAGATTGTCTCATACACTCATCACTGAACAGGCACAAAGAGATTCACCTTAGGAATAGTTATGGCGTCAAAGTCCAGCGGGCGAACTTTGACCTTCTGAAAGAGGAAGTAGAACTCTGGACTTCCTGGAGCGGATTCTCCTCCAAACGTGAGCGTGTCCCCGTCCGACAGCTCCCACTGGACTCCGGGCTGCAGCCGCACCTCGTTCACCCAGGTGCCTGAGGAGAGAGAGGGGACCAGGTCAGGACAGTGTGAGAGTAATATCATTAAACATTAAGAACATCTGAAATCTAAATGCTTCATGCTCCAACAGAGGCGTTTTGTTGAGCTCCACACAAGGATCTCGGACTGAGGGCAATCCTTCACGATAGCAAAAAATAATGGACCAATCAGGAGTGGCGAGCTGGATTTCATAGATGTGACGTAGCGGTGAAGCGACCGTTTGATTCAAACATTGGCGACACCCAGCGAGGAGTCGTGTGCTTCGATGTGAGTGGTTAAAGTAGCCCGTTATTCAAGATAACTGACAAGTGGTTTATCCAATCAGATACAATGAAGATCTTTTCAAGGTCCCGTTTTCTGAAATCCCAGATCCTTGTATGAAGCGAGTTACAAGGACCTGCCAAGAGTGGTTGTCGAGAGTTGTCGTCAGGTCTGTGGCATTGGCAGTTCTACTTTTGTATTGTATTTGCAGCACTACAAACCAACTGCGACTGAGGAGCACAGGTGACTGACCTCCTGTTGGTGCCTGGAGTCAGGACTAAACGTGTGGAGGCAGCATTTCAAATTCATGCAACTAAAACTAACAGTATTCCTGAAAATATGAGACAGGCTTCTTCTCTTACAATGTTTAAATCCAGGTTAAAACAGTTCTGTTTGGCTGTGCATACAACGGAGGGATTGAATCTTTACTCATTTTTAACGTACCGTGATTATTAGTTCTGTTAATGCCTTGTGTTCCACCTCGTTTTGTTCAGCACTTTGAGTTGCCCTTTGAATGAACTGTGCTATACACATTCATTTGCTTAAATCGTCTGAAAATCCAGTATCACTACATGTACTTCCTGAATGCATAACGGACGTATTTTAACGAAAAACTAAAAAGCCAGCACAATTTCAACACATTCATTTGTAAAGTATGTAACATCTTCAAACAGCAGTAAAACAGTGAGATTCGGAGCCGGAGGCCGTGAGGTAATCATAACGCTGTCGCAGAGTGAGGACTGCTCAGAATACTAAAATGCACCTTTAGAGGAAGAAATGAAAAGTGTGAAACCGACTGTGAAATTACTTGAAAAATTAGGCGGTTAAGAGTACAGTTTAAACCCGGAGCTTGTCAGTCACAGAGGATCCGCCTCAGGGGACGCTCTCCATAATCTCCCGCCGCAGAGACGCTTCGGCGCTGCCTGGACGCAACGAGAGACTTCCACATCATAATATTTACTAATTGGTGACAAGAGGATGTGATTGAGGTTAGTGCAGGACGGGGAAAAGAAAGAAGATTTTACTTTCACTTATTATAAAGGTTGTAACAAGTTCAAAGATTAATTGCAACTTTGCTGATTTTGAAATGTGGAAAATATTTAAGGACATTTAGGGCACGGTTACATAGGTTTTGACAAACGAACTAGGCCAAGTGGCCCGGATCGTCGCCACAGGGATGTGAAAACGGCCTGCGGGCACAAGAACGTGTATTCGCAACCGTGCCAGAGCAACTGGGCTGTAGTGCAACGCTCGGTCCAGCTGGTGGCGCTAATACTAACTTGAGCGACAACCTTGTCATCCGAGTTAAGTTTCCGTTTCTCTTCCTGTTTACACTGCTACTATAGCTAACAGCTCGAGTACGGATCGCGTTGTTTAGGGAAAGACACATCTCACACTTGTCCACATTGCTCTGATGCAGTTGTGTGTGTGTACGAGCAGAGCGAGTGTGTTTGTGTGTTCTGGCGATCAAATAAAGACTGGTTCTTGAATGTCTGAAGTATTATTGCAATAGCACCACACTGTGAGAGCGAGGGTCAGAACAGAGGGACTTATTCCCGTAGGAAACGCTTCTCTTTGGCCCTGGAGCGACATACCTCCCTGCGCTCCTCGACCACAGTCCGGGGGCTTATGTGAAAGGTTTAACACAAGCGGAGGATACAAAAGTGCAGGGAGAGACGAATGTGAAAATGTGCGTCACAACGGAAGACGTAATGTGGCGCCCAATATCAAGTCCCCACCACGCCTCATCCCCCACTCCCCACCACCCGCCACAGTGACCCCCCTCATCTGGGCTTTAGAAGCGTGCTCTGGCCCAGCTCTCTCAACCGTGCTCAGGCCCAGTTGCCGCGGTCACATAGCCCCTAAAGCCCGGATCGAATGGCGAAGCGGGCTCAGGCACACTTTTACTGGGCTTTAGGGTGCGCATGTGACATTACTGGACAGTGGTATTCCTCCCACTCCCTATGGACCAATGTCTTGTGTGTGTTTGTTAATATTGAATTTCTGTGTTCGAACTGTTTGATTCTGTTGGCAACTCCACAACTTTGTAAAATCCTTTGAGAAGACTAAAAATTCAGAGAAGAGGTTTTATGACTTTTCTCTGCATAAAAAGAGAATTCTCTAGAATAACTGCAGAATAACATTAAAATGCGTTTACAAAGTATTCTCAAACAAACCCAATGTGTAACAAGCCTCTATGAAGATGTTCTCCAGGGGAAACATTGCTGGAGCTTTGTAAAAATAAAAATAAATCCAAATTATAAACTTTGATGACATTAAAAAGGACAAAGTGTGCATCCACTGCTTGACCCGGACATTGAGACCTCATATTTTTTGTATGAATTGTGGTGTAAACAAGTCGTAGACCCCGCCTCCTGAGTCATTACACTTTTATAACGTCAAATGGAAAATTCAATTTAGTCAATAAGTGGGAATCAATGGCTCTCCATTTTAGCATAAAATTTTTTTCATTGTGATCATTGCTAATAAAACCAAAATCAGGGAACGTGTAGAACGCAGACACCACACAAAGACAGACAGAATAATAATATCTCCTGTCGGCGGCGTAATCATTGAAACTCGTACACACACAGGTCTCTCACACACACACAGGTCTCTATCACACACACAGGTCTCTATCACACACACAGGTCTCTATCACACACACAGGTCTCTCACACACACACAGGTCTCTCACACACACACAGGTCTCTCACCGTGACTGCTCCGGTCCTTGACGTGAACCCTCCATCCCTCGTCCTGGGTCATGGTGGCGGCCGCCCCTCCCGCCGCCGTCTCCCGCTCGGCGTGCAGCTCGGCGTGGATCCGGGACACGCTGGCCGACTCCAGGGTGACGTCGCACAGCTCCGGAGCTCGCCCCAGTCTGAAGATGCACTGGTTCAGGACCGGCCTGAACGTGTACAAGTCCTTCGCCGAATCCCCCACGGACGAGCCGATCCGCAGCAGCTGGAAGCACGGCTGCACTCCGGACAACATGGCGGAAAAATATTGTCCTAAAAGTCTCTGGGACGGCCCCAAACTCACCAGCTATCCTCCATAACGTCCTGAACATAAATCTGTACAAGCTAACAACTGTAGCAAGGCATCTCAGTGGAAGTTTAGCGGGCAGAGAGTTAAAAACTGAGGCATATGCTTAAAACTTGAAGGTTACACGGACAGATAACAGGTGTATCTATCAAGTATGTAAATCTGCAGAGCTGCCTCCCTGCTGTGAATATATGAATGGCTAATGAGGATTCAGACCACTACTCCGGCTGCTGAAGAGTGGAAATGATATTCTGCTGCTGCTACAGACCTGAACCAAAGAGATTAAATCCCCCATACAGCAGAGACATGCACTAAAAAGTAATAGTCTGCGTGCGCAGTGTTCCAAAGGTGCGATAAATTAACTGGACAATAGCGATGGTTGCCAAGGCCGAAAGTTAAGATACTACATTAAAAAAAACGTCAAAATGCACTGGTTCTGACTGGATCAAAGGGCCCACAGGAGGAAGGTGTCAGGAGGGGAAACAGCAGCAGGCAGCGTCATCTGTGGAAACAAGGGATTTTTAACACCAAGAGCATTTACATCAACACCTACAGAGTAATGAGAAGCAGTTATATGAGTAATGCCCTTAGGCACAATAGCAGACTGTTAAAAGTGCATTTAGCCAAGTTGACAATTACATGTAAATACATTTTTTAGAGTGTATAACCAGGAGGAGAGGAAGCAAGTAGCATTTCCCGGTATCTGTGGTTTACTACTAAGTTTAGTTACTTTGCAGATTCCCAGTGGCTCAGGGAATAGACTTTAAAGCAGCTTTGCTTGTTACAAGTCTCTCCATGGCCTTGCACCAAAGTACATCTGTGACATGTTTGTTCATCTTAATCATATGAACCAACTGGGGGAGCACAGGGACTGGTCTCCTGCTGGGGCGCTGAGGAGCGCAGGGGACTGACTAAGGGCACCAGTAGGCGGCAGTAGGTCAGTTGGTAGAGCATTGGCCTTTGAGCCAGAGGGTCGTGGGTTCAAGCCCGACTTTGACCATCAACTCCCACTGACTGCTGTCGTTGTGTCCTTGGCAAGACACTTAACCTCTGGGAACACCAGCCACAGTGGGACGGCTGCGGCTGTAAAGTGCCAAACTGCCGTTGTGTCCTTAGGCAAGACACTTCACCCCTAATGTAGCCACAGCTGCCCTGGGGCACATTGACAGAAGCGAGGCAACCAGTATGTGCCATTGGCCCCTACTGGTTGCCTCGCTTCTGTCAGTGTGCCCCAGGGCAGCTGTGGCTACAGTAGTAGTTTATCACCATCGTGTATGGAGTGAAAGAATAATGACACGTGAAGCGTCTTTGAGTGTCCATTATTATCCATTCTCTTTTTAATGTACAATGATTATTTATGATTTTTTGTTTTGTATGAAATGTGCAATACAAATTAACCTTCCTTGCAAGTAGACTACAACATAATAACAGACGTGTGTGAAGCTCAACCTCATATGGACATTCAGGTTGGTTAGCCATGCTTCTAACAAATACACAGTGAATAACCATGCTTTTAAATGCATATGGCTACAGTTTTTGTTACTCATTCTGAGCCATAATGTTCCACAGGCCATTCCATAAAACAGAATGTGTCAACTATCCAGCACACGATTTTTATTTAGAACACACTTTTATATGTACTCGCTTACTTTCAATTATCAATGCATTCAGCAGAGTTTTGTATAAATATATCTAAATTTACTACTTTTGCCACTAATGCAACACGGTCCACTTGTCAAAATTAAAGCAATAGTTAAACTTATTCCAGAAAGGAGCTTGATTCGCTGCAGTTAAAGCTCTTCTAGAACAGGATCAACCCGAGACTTTTGAGTGACACCGTGAACCGCATGTGCTGAATGACAAGAGCCACACAAAGCCTCGGTCTGCCCTGGTCTGCCCTGGTCTGATCTGGTCTGCTCACGTCAAACCCTATCACTTTCACATCAGCTCCACACATCCTGCACACACGGCCCCTGCAACTGGACCGAGACCGACAGAACACGGTGCCAAGTCGCTCTTTCTCCCGCGGACAGAGCGTGGGCAGCTCGGTCAGACACAGACGGGAGCCCGCTGTGGTTGTGGAGAGACAGCAGTGAATGAAAGCGGTGTCACGTACTCACTCCCGTCAGCCTTGGACACGGCTCCGGTTCGGCTTAAACTGGGCTAAAGTCCCCGTAAACATCCAACCAGAGGACCGCGGGCCTCAGCTTCGGATGAGGCGGGTTCTCGGTGCAGTTCTGAGCCCGTTGTTCGGCAGGATTCGGGCTCGTTCTGTCGGGAGGAAGTCCTTTGAAATTTGGCGCGCCACAAGCCGAGCAGAGGCACTTCCACGTCCGACCTCTGCGTGCTGCGTCACTTCCGGCCCGCGCCTTTTGCAGCTGTTTGTGCAGAGACTGAAGAGCAAAATCCTGATGTAGGTCACGGTGGTGTGTGAGATCACAGGGATAAGGGTTAGAGCTGTTATGTCATGTAACTTTATGTGTGAAGGGAGTGTGCAGGTTGGCTCTGGACCGACCTGCACTTGGAGATAAGATAAGATAAGATATTCTTTATTTATCTCACAAGGAGGAGAAATTTACATGTCACATTTGGCATGGATAGAAACACTCAGATTGTGCAAAAAAAGGGAGGAAATGTGCAAACATGTTAAATGCAGGATATATTATGTACATAAAAAGTGGCAATCAGAAATAGTGTCAGTGTTAGTGCAGGTTTTTCAGTCTTATACAGTGACTTAAAGTTACTTATTGTACAGTCTGACAGTGGTGGGGATAAAGGCCCTTCGGGAGCGCTCCTTCCTACACTGAGATAAGGCTGTAGGATCCTCAGTGTCCTCTTTTAAATAACTTCTTAGAACCCACTTTTATCAAATAGGTTTTAATTGTTAGTTTCAACCTTATCATGTTGCATTTTACAGTCCCACTCTCTTTGTTTTGTCTGACTTGTTTCCAGTTTTATTCTGCTGCATTTATTTTTAATTAGATTGTTCTATTGCCTGTTTCACTGCCTTATGCTGACTGTGCAGGACTGCTTTTTACAAGTGCTATACAAATAAAGATTTATTTTTATTATAAGTCACAGTGACATATTATTAAGATTTGGATTAGAGATCCTTTGTTCGTCCTGCAGTGGGCACATTTCAATGTTGCAGCATAAGTTACAATAGTAGAAAAGTGACCATTAAGTATTTCACAACCCTATACAATATACAATCTGTATACTTCTGAGCAAGAAATATATACCTGTGTTTGTATAGGTCTGTAGTACACTGCAAGAATGAGTAATGGGTCATGAGCTCTGAGGGTTCCAGTATTCACAGTGATGAATCTAAATGTAAAGTGAAGTGACAGTGACATTGGACACATGTGGTCTCATTTTTCACTTTCTAACGTGATTTCAAATTATTGCACAGATACATGACATGTGAGGTCAGGTCGGCAGTGTTTATTAATCATTACTATTATACAGTCTATAGGGGTTAAACAATAAAAAAAATTAGCAGCTTATAGTCTGACTCTGGAAAAAGTTTGAAAATAGACTGTACAAACTGTATGTCTTACTAGTGTCCTGTTTCTCTAAACTGCCTCATTACAATCAAACAGAAGACAGTGGTTTATCTGGTTTGTCCACATCAGTAACTGAAACACACTGGTCCACACGTCAGCTTCGAGTTCCCAATAAAGGAGCTAAAAAAATTACACGTTTTTGAAAATGTTTTTGTTTATTTTGATTATTTCATTCATTACAGAAAATCAGGAGCTTTAGAAAAGTACGGAGGATGAACATGTACCAAACACTGGACGAAATAATTTGCATTAGTTTCATATTTCGAAAGTGAAATTTTGAGACAATAACAAAGTCCAGAGAGAGCTTCATTGTGAGAAATAGGAAGCTACAAAAGCATGAGCATAAATACACAATGTTTATCTTATGCACTGAATGGAATGACTGTCGATTAACACAAAAGTTGAAGACATCTGTACAAAAAGGATACACTGCCCCAAAAGCATTCTACCGGCTGCATGCAGAGGTTATAGTCTGAGCATATACTGAGACAGATGCTGCGCAAGGAGACGCCAAAACATAAGAGCTATGAATATTAAACATTAAAAGGAGGTTTCTATGAGTGTGTCTCAGAGTAACAGATGGCTTTCAAAGTCAAAAACAACATAAGTTTGCTAATACACTGCAAAAAATGATGAAATATGAGGTAATAATAGTTTGAATCTAGTGGTTTCTGTCTTAGTTTGAGTTCATTCTGACTGTGTTAAAACCAGTGGGGGCAGGTCCCAGCTTAAAAATGTCCAAAATGATGTGTGCTGACATGCCGCAATACCACCCCAGGGCGATGGCGTTGGACCCGGAATAAGAATTATCCAATGCTAATGTTGGTATCTCCTTACCTCTCAAAAACAGCTTTACATCCTGGTTCAAAAGTTGGCTCTTGGCCCAAAGCTACGTTCCACATGTGTGTCAGTGCTGAGGGGAGTGAGTTTTTTTGGACCAGTCTAGTTTAGCCGCTGTGGAATTTTGAAGGCACTCGTTAAACAAATGTGGCTCGTGCCGGCTGACAAATGCGAAAATGCGTTTTTTTCACATTTTCCAGCCACCGCGGCCATTTTGAAACTGCCCATAGTCGGCGAAAGTGGTGGTACATTGTTTGAACGGCGGAGATAGGCGTGACTATGTTAATATTGGAAGTCTAAACGAGATGTGCCTGCCAATGGGACAAATCCATTCAGTCTTATTTCAGTCTTAAATGCGATATTTTTTCCTTCCAAGGGAGACATTTCTTGTAGCTTCTTAAAACAAGATCATTTCGCTGTTTACTATAGGCAAATCTTGTTTTTAGGCAGTCAAAATGTGCTCAAACAAAGAAACTGTTGCCAAATTTAGAAATATTTGGTTTATTTTTTATCACTTTTTGCAGTGTAAACGTAGAATCGAACCATATTTTTCTGCATCCAGCCTCGAACTGTAATCGTCATACTTGGCAAATAAGAAAGTGACCTTATTTCTAGTTGAATTGGACTGATTTTAAGTAGAGAGAGCGCTCATCTCCTCCTGATTAAATAATTACAGCACTTCACGACTGTAGTGCTTTGAAATCGCACCACTGGAGACAGACAGAAATTGCAGATTCACAACTTCTCGTGTTAAGACTCAGATTTTCAGCTCAATTAGGTGTGCACAAATACTATTCATGTTTTTGTATGACACTGGTATTCATACTGGGTTGAATTGAAGAGAAAAATAGGGCATTGTGATTGGAGCAGGCCTCTCGGTCACCTCTGCACCTGGAGAGGAGTCAGAGGGAGATGGGAGAGTGTAATGGAACAGAAAGTATCAGAGAGTTTGAAAGAGGCCACATGAAAAGTTGTTTTGTGGAGCCTCAGATTGAGTCCAGCTCCACAAAGGGCCCTCGAAACAAGAGAAGGTCAAACTAGTTCTGGACTTTGATTTTCATTCCACTCCACTGTCGCACTCGTCATCATCTCCATCAGTGCGAAGCCATCAGAGGTAACAGTACTCTTACTTAAGTACTGTGCTACTAAAAGCTGAAGTACCTACTGTATTTACTGTTTCCATAAATTGACTGCCATTGACGTATTTGTCTGAGACCCTCTATTCGACTGGGGATGACAGGACAATAAAAATCGCTAGAAACAAACTTTTTTTTTTGCTGATCAAAGTAGACAATCCAGTCTTTCAGAATCTGGTTCCATAATTTACATAGTCCTAGCAAAAAATATTCTGTGGGTCTTGAGAATCAGTGAAATCATCAAAAACGGCTGGCAGTCAATGAGTTATTAAAAGGGCCATGATATCTCCAGAGTTTGTTATAATATTATTTAATCTGATAATTATCTAATGTCTTAAATAAAGATAATGTTTGATAAGTTTTACTATTTTACTATTTACTATTTCAATGTGCAACGACGACATTGAAATTTCCCCTCTGATGGACAAAATGTGTGTTACAATGAGTCTGGTGTGTGTCTGAGAGAAAATAAAGTTATTTAATTGGTTTTTGGTTCGGGTTTTTATTGACATTGCTTTTGTCCTGTAACTGAGTATGTGTAGCTAGGTTTCTTCTGACTGAAAATATATTCAAAAATTGCTAATATAATTAAATAAACAAATAATAATAATGATTTTACAACGTTTCGGCATCTTTTTTGGCATATATTTCAAAAACACATTCTTCTCTCCCTCAGTACAATGCTCTCCTGGTCGTTACAATTATATATTTTTTAGCAAAACAAAATGAATACATTCCAGGTGTAATAGAAGCGATGCTAGTAACACAACAGTATAAAACGTTATAGTACATTGTGGCATTCTCGTGTAAACACCATACATGTCAGTAAAGGGTTATGAAGTCAACGCAGCGTCTGAGTATAAAATCTTGCATAATTCTCGCTGTTATAGAAATATATTTTGCACTATTCATGCAAACGTTATATATGTACTTTATATATGTGTGAATTTACAACAACCATGGGCAGAGTGAAGACTGCAGTAGTGTCTGATCCAAAACCCTCTTCACCCATAAACCTCACACCATTTATTCCTATAAGGCAATAAAACACACAAAAATGCAAATTATACAAGTGCATCTAGAGCATGTGCACGTTTATCAAAGAATTACATAAAAATAGTGGAGAGAAGAAATGCTAATGCTAACCCTGACTTTAGCACTAAGTAATATTGGTGCTAATTGATAATAATTTGTATATTGTATTTCTATTCTAAAGTCAAACGATGCATAAAAAAAAAGTGTAGAAATATTAAAAGTGCTTATGACAGCCTACACTTGACTTCTCTCAAAACACAGACAATTATACGTTATATTTTTCTCAATTTTTCAAAATGTTTGTAGTTTTTTTTAAATACTTCCTGGTTGTAAATGATGACATCACAGGGAATGCTTCTGAGCTGCAGTGTAATAAACTGGGCCAAAACTGCTAGAATTTAACAGAAAATTTATTTAATTTAGTTACAAGAAGATTAAGGTTAAGATTAAGATATACTTTAAGTTTAAGATTAAGATATACTTTAACCGTCCCACAGTGGGGAAAAAACTTTGATTTAGTAAATAGTTGTACATTTTGCCAAACTGCCAAATGTGAATCTCTCTCCTGCGATATCATCAGTTCTAGAACACTGCTTGACTTCCTGTAGTTTCCAAATTGTCTAAAAAAAAATACAAAATACAATACACTAAAACAATATAAATATTTTTCCTGGTGCTATTCCACCAGAGAAAAAAGCCAAATCATTTTAAAAACTGTCATATGCGCTCTAATGCCCCTGTCTCTCTTTAAATGTAGAACCATCCAAGTGTCCGGTGATAAGTGCTTGTAGTCTGCGTGTGCGCCCCCCTGGTTGAGACGCGGACAGACTTTTATGCTCGTTGGGTTCAGTGCTTTTCCAGTCATTGTATTGCTTATGTTTTCATTCAAAGTCACAAACCTGAAGTTCATATTTACAACCGTATACGATTCCCTGCATTCCCAAGGGACTGCACAGACCTCACATGCGTTCAGTGCTGCAGGGATCTAGAAAAAAGAGATCAAAGGTACCTGTAAATTCCTGAATGGTCTTCTTTTTTTTTTGCTTTTCTCTAATGTGTATTTACAGTTGCAGCAAATTTTCTTTTTTTTTTGCATTCTCGACCCAAAATGTGATTATTTGTCAGAACGTTTGGACACACAATACCTGCTGTGAAATGTGATTCAAAAATGCTGAAAAACAAATAATGGTTAATATTTTTGCTACATTTTGGCATCATTTTTGGCAAATACTGAAAAAACAAATTCTCTCACTCAGTACAATGCTACCCTGGTTTATACAATTGTTTTTTTTGTTTTTTTTTTAGTAAAACAAAAACAATACATTCCAAACTGTATTAGATTTCAACTGCTATCTTTGCAATGCTCCTTTTGATTCTTATACTTTGATAGTATTTCCATGGATCTGAGGAGCCCTTTTGCCTCTATATTTCTATGGAGATAAAGGTAGATACTGTAAAATACTTTAGGCTAAACATAATGCCATTACTATGATAGCGTTGGGTGGGAATAGGGCATACAAATCTTACTGGAAGCTGAAATTTCATGATTGGTTAAATGTGTTCTTGTTTCTATGGCAACATGTGCGGAGCCAGGCATGAAAACATTTTGGTTGAACCTTGCTGTAGGTTACGCTCTTGATTTTTAATGGTTGAGCTGTATTTCTGTGTCCCCCGCAGTGAAAATATTATGTAAAAACAACTTCTGATGTCAATAAGAAATTTCTGTTTGACTGAAGCGACTCAGAAACTCGGGACGGTTGACTACATCACCACCCAAACGACAGCCTGTGGAGATGTGTCAAAAGAAAACATATGTCGTCTTTTGCTTCAGAATGAGCCCTTCGAGTCACTATTTGACTCTTTGGGCTGAGAGCTGATTGGCTGAGTGAGCGTGGTCCTCTCTTTTGAACTTCTCTGTGTGAAAAAGCAGATCTGAAGATGTGACAGAGGCTAAACATACAGGCATGTGAAAACAAGTGATAGAACTGAACTATGGTGGCATCACCTGCAGACCTCAGAAGCTCAGGGGGGCAGGGCCTGGTTAAGACTGTGATGGGAGACCTCTTTGAAGGTTGTAAAGTGCCAATCTGATGTTGTGTTCTTAGGCAATACACTCACATTAGAATGAGTCTGGAGTGTGTGAGTGAATGGTTGGCGGTGGTCGGAGAGGCCAATGGCACAAACTGATTCCGTCAGTGTGCCCCAGGGCAGCTGTGGCTACAGAATAGATTTATCATCATAATGTAAGGAGTGAATAAATAATAACATGTGGCGCTACTTTGAGCGTCCAAAAAGCCCTAAATAAAACCATTTCATTATTATACTGTTTCCAGAGCGAGGTATTTGTTACATGGATTTTAGTGCATAGTTACAATTTGAAAGTTAGGTACCCGAGCTTTAAGTGAGAGAATCAAAGACTATCTCTACATAGTTTGTTTAAAAAGACATTCCCATCAGGACTGGTTTGAAAGTATGAACTCCATCTGTGAAGTTCCTACCCAAAATTCCACACTTTGTCGATCTTACCCACAACCTGCGGAGACTGTGTCCAAACTTTTGAGGCGTGTTTAAGTTTTGTGCTTGTCTTTACAAACAGAATTGGCTCGGTGTCAGGTTGGACGAATGAAATGGCCGCTTGGTTGACAGCATTCATTTCAGTGAGAGGCAGACACTTTGCTGACAGCTTTCAATAACAGACTGAATGAGACCCGAGGGACAGGGCTGCAGAGGTGGTGGGCTTCTCCCCTGCACTTAAGGAAACTAATGCATGTCATGGTTATCGAGCCGACAGGGGATAGCAGCGTAAAGTAATGTAGCGTCTCTCAAAGCTGGTTGCAAAGTAGGAATCAATGGGTTTGCGTTTCGGTAACCCAGCCACAAGCAAAGCCTCCTTAGTGCTAGCCCATAGCAAACATGTGATAACACTGGGAGAGATTAAACATTCTAGCATTAAAGCGGCTATAAATAACGACAAAAATTCTATACTTGCTAGCTTGTACCAAAAGAGCGTTGAGAAAATTAGCCAAAAATCACATATTGATGGAAATAGGTGTTTCTCTGTCCCTGATATGTTATGGGGCATGTACACAGTAATGCAGAAGTCTTAGTCTAAAATACGAGCAAATTCTACTTATTTTTGTTGTCAATTGCATCCAGAAGTCTAAAGCTGGAAGCGTTGGCGTAATGTATTAAAACAGAAACAGCCACCGTAGCAGAGGTGGGTGATCTCTTTCTTCATTTAAGGGAAAAACAATAGTTCAGTATTTTTTGCAAAGTTCATATAAGATGTAGGCATTGTTGGATTTTTCTAACTAAAAACTCCATCTACTTGCGTGGAAATGTGTGGCTATACTCAACCCACTTTTGCACCTTGGCCAAACCTTTTGTGGAGAATCCAATTACAAAATCAACTCATCCTGTGTCCGCACCGTTGATCCAAACACTTTCTTTTTCTTCTCATTGTCCTCTTTTCTTTCCTGCGGCTTTGATGGATGAACACTGTTGGTTTTGAACGCCACCGTCACACACCTCCTATTATCATCATCACTCAGGCTGATCCCGCTGGGCCCACGCTCCGAATCCTTATCGGGAGATGGATCGAGCTCCGTCTATTTTTTATTTTTTATTTTTTTGGCAAAGTACCGCGCAGCAATAATCCAAGCGGCAGGAATCAAAATGAATGGGGAAGATTGAAATAGCAGGTTTATAATCATGCAAGTCATTCAACAATTCTCCAATAAATCTCTTGTTTTTCTGCGAGAGAGAGAAAAAAAAAAGGCAATTTTGTCACAGCAGGTATTGGTGGTACGCGATTACACACTGACAGGTTTTGAAATTGCTGACATTCAAGGGCAAAAATAAATACGTTTGTTTCTCTGCTCGCATGGCCTCTTGTCCAGGGCTCACTTTTCTCGGCTCGCGTTATTACCGAGAGTGGCATTTGACAGTTTATTTTGGTGCCGGATCCTCCAATATGACAGCGTTGACAAAAACTGAAAGGTACAGCATGCGACGGATAGAAATAAGAACGCCGAAAGCCGATATCTTCCACACTGGTTTTGTTGTTTTGCTGCAAAAACACCCACCCAGAGACAGAGTTCCCCCCTGAACAAAAGCCGAGATGGCAGTCGCGATCGATGGAGCGGCCGTGGTTGGTGACATGCTTGTTCAGTTCGTAATAGAGTTTGCGTGGGGGGAAATGCAGTAATAGTTTCTGCCATGTGTTGTCGGAGATGGGAGGAAGAGATTTACCTTCAAAAGTCTTTCATCTTCTTTGTTTATGTATCTCTACATCACTGATTTCACACAGCACTGACTACCAAACTCTAATTCTTACATACTTAACACCGTGGCCTGTTGAAAAGTACATGCATTGGTGTATTCTGAGGTTAGATTGTTAAATTTGGCATGCATTATCTATAATAATTGACGTTTTTTTCTCCGTCAGTCTCAACAAGAGCCTGTACCCAATTCTTATTCCATGTAGTTGAGTCAAAGCTAGTTTTGCCCCAGTGCAGATGTCAGTGTATTAAAGTCATTGTGTGTTCTGCTAGTGTTCTGCTAACTAAGTGGAACGCAAAATGTGTGATTTCAATGCTGGTAAAACTTAATCTTTGCTCTGAAATGTGAGGAATGTGTGAAATTGCTTGCAAACTTCTGAGGCGCAAGGATTTGGTTTGACTTCTGCTGTTTTCCTACATGAAAACATTAAAAACAGGTACAACGGCTGTAATTTTAGTGGTTTTTTTGCGTCTTGTTATGTGTAATTTGTGTCGTTTTCCGGTCCCTCTCCTGGCGTGATTCCGTGTTGACATTCCGATGCGTGGATGGAGGGGCGTGGATAAGGTCCTCAATACAACATGACAGATCCATGGTTTTGCTTTTATCTTTATAAGTTCCCCAAATTTCTACATTTAGGTGCTTTGGGGAGCTTCGTTTGAGACCGGCTCGACACTCTCCTCGCCGTCTGCCTCTGTCTTTGGAGTTGCCGCCCCCTGCTGGTTCTCCTCAAGCGTTGCAGAGGCGGCCGATCGCGGGTTGGAGGCCGGGCTTCCGCTCAGGATCGAGTCGGGGGTTCGAGAGGCGTCTGGGGCCGTGGCGTCGGGGCTGTTGGCCGGGACCTCGCTGACGGCTGTGGGGGAGACGGCGTTGAGCAGGGGTTTGTGGGAGGCGTAGGTCAAACCGCCGTCTGTGTCGCTGTCCAGGGGGAGACCGGAGCTGGCAAACTCCACCCCAGAGTCACTCATGTCCATCAGGTTGTTGTCCGAAGGCAGAGTCTGGTATCGACCTGGTTTGGACACCTCCAGACCCTGAGGACACAGATTCCGTTTATTTATCATTTATTTAGTTCACTATATTTACCACACAATTTACATAAACTTATTGACTCTTACTCTTTTTTTAAATTATCATTATGAGTGTGGAATGACAGGAGAAAACCACCTGCGTGTGAAAGCCAGCTGATATGAAAGCTACGCAGGATACTGTGAAGGCCACAGTGGGGCAGACACTTAGAATGAGTCTGGTGTGTGTGTGAATGGTTGGTGGTGGTGGGAGGGGCTGATGGACAGACTGGTTGCCTTGCTAATGTCAGTGTGCCCCAGGGCAGCTGTGGCTACAGTAGTAGTTTATCACTGGAGTGAATAAATAATGTCGTGTGTGAAGTGTCCACAAAAGAGCGTTTTTTTTTTCCTACACGGTGAAAGCTGTGAATTTTACATGGTATGTCCCCTTTAAACCCATTGCAAGTAAGTAAGTAATCTTTATTTATATACCGCCTTTCACAGACCAGAGTCACAAAGCGGTTTACAATTGTTATTTTTGGGGCACTTGTATTTACACTCCACACAGAGATGAGAGCGGGGTCACCGAACAGGAGGCGCATGCCAGACCTATTTTACATATTTTTAGTGGTAGGGGAAACCGGAGTACCCGGAGGAAACCTATGCAGATAAGTGAAAACTCCACTCAGAAAGGCCCTGGTCCGACCAGGATTCGAACCCAGGACCTTCTTGCTGAGAGGCGAGAGTGCTATACACTCAGCCACCGTGCCGCCCCATTGCAAACATGTTCTAAAATGCATGACTCCTGTATTAGCCCGATGCATACTTCAGTGAATTAAATGTTAATGCGAAGATGCGTGAAAGAACACGCTGCAAAATGAATGCTGAAATGATTAATCTTACTCATAATATTTCACCAAGAAGAAATATAGGAATTTTTTTAAGAGCAAAAAATATATATAAATGATAAACGACAAGACGAGTTGAAGAGGTTGGGATTGAGGTCACGGTGAAAACTACTTTAATAATTAACGATTCTGGTTAAATTATAGATTTACCTTTCACTACAAGACGCGGGGAAAAGAGGGTCACAATAGTTACCCAGGAACAACACTGCGTTCTGTAGGTTTGATACAACATATTGTATAAGAATTGTTTTCTTCATCATTTCCACACTCGGTTGTTTTGCCCTCAGTACTAACCAGGCCCTGCCCTGCTTAGCTTCAGAGGTCTGACAGGATCTGGCTTTCACCTGCAGGTGGCGCCACTAAAATCTATGTGTGTGTTCTAGGAATAGAATAGGATGTATTTGGCAGCATTCCACGGGGCATTTTTCTTACAGGGAAAAAGTTTGCTGATCATTCACTTCATCTGTGGACTGAGCGGATCCTGCAGGGCCTTTGATGTTGACTGCTTTTTTTTCTCCCTGCCTCGGAGCCTCCTCAGTCTTGCCTCGCTCTGCCTCAGACCTCGTTCTACAGCCTCAGACCTCATTCTACAGCCTCAGACCTCATTCTACAGCCTCAGTCCTCATTCTACAGCCTCAGACCTCATTCTACAGCCTCAGACCTCATTCTACAGCCTCAGTCCTCATTCAACAGCCTCAGACCTCATTCTACAGCCTCAGACCTCATTCTACAGCCTCAGTCCTCATTCTACAGCCTGACACCTCATTCTACAGCCTCAGACCTCGTTCTACAGCCTCAGACCTCATTCTACAGCCTGACACCTCATTCAACAGCCTCAGACCTCATTCTACAGCCTCAGACCTCGTTCTACAGCCTCAGTCCTCATTCAACAGCCTCAGACCTCATTCTACAGCCTCAGACCTCATTCTACAGCCTCAGACCTCATTCTACAGCCTGACACCTCATTCTACAGCTTCAGACCTCGTTCTACAGCCTCAGACCTCATTCTACAGCCTGACACCTCATTCTACAGCCTCAGTCCTCATTCTACAGCCTCAGTCCTCATTCTACAGCCTGACACCTCATTCTACAGCCTGACACCTCATTCAACAGCCTGACACCTCATTCAACAGCCTCAGTCCTCATTCTACAGCCTCAGTCCTCATTCTACAGCCTCAGTCCTCATTCTACAGCCTCAGACCTCATTCTACAGCCTGACACCTCATTCAACAGCCTCAGACCTCATTCTACAGCCTCAGTCCTCATTCTACAGCCTCAGACCTCATTCTACAGCCTCAGACCTCATTCTACAGCCTCAGACCTCATTCAACAGCCTCAGACCTCATTCTACAGCCTCAGTCCTCATTCTACAGCCTCAGACCTCATTCAACAGCCTCAGTCCTCATTCTACAGCCTCAGTCCTCATTCTACAGCCTCAGACCTCATTCTACAGCCTTAGTACTCATTCTACAGCCTCAGTCCTCATTCTACAGCCTCAGACCTCATCTCTACAGCCTTAGTACTCATTCTACAGCCTCAGTCCTCATTCTACAGCCTCAGACCTCATTCTACAGCCTCAGTCCTCATTCTACAGCCTCAGTGCTCATTCTACAGCCTCAGATCTCATTCTACAGCCTCAGACCTCATTCTACAGCCTCAGACCTCATTCTACAGCCTCAGACATCATTCTACAGCCTCAGACATCATTCTACAGCCTCAGTCCTCATTCTACAGCCTCAGTCCTCATTCTACAGCCTCAGACCTCATTCTACAGCCTCAGACCTCATTCTACAGCCTCAGACCTCATTCTACAGCCTCAGACCTCATTCTACAGCCTCAGACCTCATTCTACAGCCTCAGACCTCATTCTACAGCCTCAGACCTCATTCTACAGCCTCAGTCCTCATTCCATGAACCAAAAAATGTTGTAAAGTGCCCCGAGATGAATGCTGGTGGGAATTAGAGATATACACAATTTTTTTTGATTGAATTTAATATAAGCAACAGGATTTCATAATTATCATATTTGGTCAATTTTGTTTTTGTTTTGTTTTTTGCTCAGTGGGAATGAGGAATTAGATCCACACTATATGGCAGAAATATATGCAGAAATTCTAATTTTACTCAACAACACAACAAAGTTTAGACATCACAATAGATCACCATAGAGAACAACAAATGTTTATTTTCATTCGTCCCAAAATGTCTGAGATGCTTCTGATTCAACTGAGTAGGATGGATAAAGGTACATGGTTAAAAACTCGAAAGGCACTTTGAATTGCCTTTACACAAATTGTGCTTTACAAATACATTTTGATAGAAATGCTGTGTGATAAAAAAGCGTATTTTGAATGTAACCCTTTGTCATTCAACACAAAAAGTCACATTACTCTCAAAGTCTAAGCACTGCTAAAACAATCGTAAACAAAGAGAAAAGACGGGACAAATATCACAACCCGAACCCTAACCTCAAGCAGTGTTGTTCTGGGTGTTATCTCCCGTCTGATCGGCTAGACTACTTCTTTCTCTTCCGCTCTGACTGCAGCTTAGTGGAAACCGTAATAGATTTTTATAATGCCAGTGTGTAAGGTTCGCTGCTTCTTTATCGCCTGTAGTGACATTATACTGAAGGTCACTGTGGCAGAGTCCTTAGACACTAAAATGGCAGAAAGTCTCTTGGATACAACACAGTTACAGGTTTTAGAATGTATTTAAAGTATTTACAAGGAGACGATTTATTTCATAGAAGAAGCAGAGGGGTTCAACTGAGTTGGTTTTTAACTCAGACTTGAGATAGTTGTTTTTAAAAGCCAGCTCGTAAGAAACAAACATCAAATGACGAAGAACAGAAGTTAAAGCTGTTTTTACATCACGCCCTATCTGTTTCATAATGGGATAATGATGATGATGATGATGATGAGGATGGGACCTGTTTCATCTGCACCTGTGGACCGGTCTCTCCACAGCCTTAGTCCTCATTCTACAGTCTGAGTCCTGGATCTACAGCCGGTCTGTTCCTGGGAGCAGATCCCTCTCCCCACAATCCCTTTCCCTGAGGTTTGACTTTTTTTTTCTCACTGGGTTTTTGCGTAATTCCTTGCAGATGCAGGTTCGGGACATCCGACGCGACAGTGGCTCAGATGGTAGAGCATTGGCCTTTGAGCCTGAAGGTTGTGGGTTCGAGCCCACCACAAGTTTTTCTCCACCGACTGATGCCTGCTATTGCTGTGTCCTTGTCAAGACACTTAACCTCGGGGAACACCAGCCACAGTGGGGCGGCTGCGGCTGTAAAGTGCCAAACTGCCGTTGTGTCCTTAGGCAAGACACTTCACCCCCATTGCCTAGAATGAATCTAGGCAATGAGTCTACTGGCTACAGTAGTAGTCTCACCACTGTGTATGGAGTGAATGAATAATGAAGCGTCTTTGAGTGTCCAAAAAAGTGCTATATAAAAACCGATGCATTATTATTATTATTATTATTATTATGAAAAAATATTTCTGGACCGTGATCATCCCGCTCTTTATGTACCAATGGACCAAATGAGTTTGTTATTATTGAATTTCCTGTGTTTTAACTGAGAGTTAGATTTTCTGAGGTGTTATTTTATTTATTTTAATTTGAATTGTCTGACCTTGATGGTGACCTCTGTGCTCTCGGACGGCTGGTCGCACGTGGACTGCATCAGCGACTCCTCCGTGAAGCGAGTGTAGGCCTCGTGCACCACCTGGACACAAGGACAGAGGAACAACAATCACCACAAGAGACATGACAAAACAAATCAAATCAAAACAATGCCGTAGTGAACAAATACACACACGACACACGTTACACACAACACAAACTGTTTTCTTTAGATTTGAGGTTAACACAAGAGCAGTGAAGATTTACACACACAGATCATTTTTAATAGCTATAATAACGAGTTTATAGATTGCTTTCTTACTACGCTAAAACAAGAGATTTGACTTTAGTTTAGGATAGAGTATGGAGCTGTGTGTATTTATCTTGTGTTGTGTTGTGTGCTCATCATTTCTACTGTTCTGCATCATGTTCTGGGACACTGAAGCGGATCAATAAAAGCTCAGACGAAAATGAATCAAAGTTGTTGATAGAGTAAACTTTCTACTCTCAGGAGAAGCATCCGACTTTACTCTCCACGCCAACTCCCTCCAACTCATTTTTTTTTTTCTTTTTTTTTTTAGTAAGTCCTAAGTAGCTCTGAAACATTTGTTGTTTTGTAATTTACAATTGTTATTTTTCTTATCTTTTTTCTACCTGAGATGTTGCTGCAGTACAGTGTTCATGGTTTTATACTGGGCCAGACGAGAGCAGAGAGGATTCAGTTTCAGAGAAAATCCACTTGAGGAATGCTAACTTTTTGTAAAATGCTAATGAAGCATTTAGCATTTTACTTTGGACCAGAGCAGAGAAAATGGTCCAAACCAAGCAGCTCCACCTCTGCTGCTGTGACCTGAAGAACTGTAGCTGATTATTACTGTTGTTAACTTTTTAGAATGATTGATTTAATTTGTTATTTTTTACTGCTGCTGGACACTTGAATTTCTCCAACAGGAATCAACAAAGTATCTATCTATCTCCAGATGTTCCCAGGCCAGCAGAGGGACACGTACAGGAACAGATGCCTACAGCCACCTCCCTGGGCTCTCCAGGAGCAGTGGCTCTCCTCCGAGCTCCTCGAGCTTGGTGGCATCACATTCTGAAAGGATACACTTTAGTTTTAGTTTAGTTTTGGAAGGTTCATTGTGTCTTCTTAGTAGAATTAGGTTATTTTGTTTTTATATACCAAGGTAAGGACATGGCTAACTGACTATTGTCTTGTATAGAAGAACCAAATAACCTTATCATTTTAGTTTAGTTAATTCAGATCCCTATTTGCCACTGAGGTGCATTGACTATCATACAGTAGGTCTAAAATTCCAGACATCTCAATGGAGAAGTGCCATGGTGGAAATAACTGTTTGTTTACTACATAGAATCTTCTCTGATCTCGCTCGAGTCTGGCTTGATCTTGGGCACCACACAGAAGGAGTGGTTTAATAATAGACTGATCAGACTGAAGGCTGCAGAGCTGATAAGAGCTGAGGGTGAAACGCTCTGATGTGTCTCGCTCTCCAGTTTAATCCCTGTGACTTTGGCCTTTGAGTTTTTGATCTGTGTGAAAACCCTTCAGGGCCCAGAGCGTCCTCACAACCTCAGCTGTCGACGCATACATAAACACAACAGCATCACACACGCCGTTCAAACACACAACACACACATGGACACAGAAGAGAGGCCGCCCACTCCGCACTGTTTACTGCTCCAATATAGAACCATTTCATTATTGTCTCTTTGTCGGCTGTGGTTTGGATGGAACTGGGTCGAGATACATTTATAGACACATATATAGAATGTCACAATATTTTTGAGCCTGGGTCACAATGTAAATGATTCTAACAAACAAACTGTTGTAACTTTAAGTTAATATTTACTTTGGCATTTGATGTTTTTGAATGTTGAAAAGGAAAACCCTCTTGCACACAGTAATTGCGTAAACCAGTATCTTTATTTACATAGGAGCAACTTTTCAGCTGTGGGTGTTTGTCGAGCATTTTTTTTTCATAACGGAAAAAAAAATGCTCGTCAAATACCCACAGCTGAGAGTTTTTCCCGTTTCAAAGTTTGGTTGAGCTGTGTGCGGGGCCTACTCTTACGCAACTGTCAAGACATGGATGTGTGATAAATGTGAAATTATTTCTTAAGAAGAAAAAATATCAGTAAATAATAATATAATATTTGACTAAAAGACGGACAGAGTCAGAAGAACACTCCCATCTACTGGTAGAAGTGTAGTACTATTCGACTTTACATAACAGAACTAATTGAAAGCTTATTAAGGAACTTTTACAAAAGGAATTTCAAGACTAATTTAGAAGCGATAATTTTGTTTTAAAGACAGATAACAACTCTACACATGTTTGAAAACAGAGGATTCAAACAGAAGGAGTGGGGAGACGTGTTTGTGCAGATTTTTGCCAGAAGTTACTGATATTTGGATGAATACAGCTAAAAACAACTACAGCTCTGTTTTTTGAGGAATTTTGCTATTCTCAAATCCATTCCATCCATCCATTTTCTTCCCCTTGATCCATTTCTGGGTTGGGGGGTTGCAGTCAGAGCTGCACCCAGTCCACAGAGCACCAGCCCCTCACTGATCCTCCTGCAGGTGAGTCCACAGGGGCAGTCATGCTCTGTCAGGGACAACACAGCCTTGGTCTTTCAGCAGGGGCTTCAGGTAAGGTGGGGTTAAGTGTCTTGCCCAAGGACACAACAAAGATATCAGTGGAAGCCTTGAAGCAGGTCTCATGGTGGGCTCGAACCCATAACCTTCAGGCCCAAAGGCCAATGCTCTACCTACTGAACCACTGTCGCCCCGCTATACTCAAATAGTAAATTCAAAACACTGCACTTTGAGTCCAGACTAGAACCAGGAAGTACATCACATTAGTCCAGTTCCCAGGTCTCTGCTTCCTGTGGCTCAGAAAATAGACTTTAAATCAGCTCTGTATGTTATAAGTATCTCTAGGACCTGGCACCAAAGTACATCTGTGACATGTTAGTGCCATATGAACCAAGGAGGACTCTGAGGAGCACAGGGACTGGCCTCCTGCTGGGACTCTGAGGAGCACTGGGACTGGCCTCCTGCTGGGACTCTCAGGAGCACAGGGACTGGCCTCCTGCTGGGACTCTGAGGAGCACAGGGACTGGTCTCCCGGTGGGACTCTGAGGAGCACAGGGACTGGTCTTCTGCCGGTGTCCAGAGTCAGGACTAAGCATGGAGAGAAAGCGATCCAGATTTCTGCAGCCAAAATCTGGAACAGTCTTCCTGAAAATATGAGACAGTCTTCTTCTCTGACTAATGGTTCAAGTCCAGGTTAGAACAGTTCTGTTTCAGTGAAACAACTGAAGGATTGTATCTGTAAATGTCTCCAGTGTGAGATCAATAAAGTCTATCTTATTTTATCTGATCTTTAATGCACTATGATCATTAAAGGCTTTGTGTAACTGTAATGTTTCTTTCCTTGTTTTGTTCAGCACTTTGAGTTGTGTATAAACTGTGTGTCTATACAAATCAACTCTCCATTGGCAAAAAGGCTCATATCAAACCAGTGACAGTGCAGAGGTTCTGGCTACAACAAAATATTTCACATTTAATTTCAGGACAATTAGAACGGCAGACAAACACAACACACCCACTGACTTTCAGGGAGGACAGTAGAGTTTCTGTAACAAAACAACACACACACACACACACACACACACACACACAAACAGATTTATTATAGCAGAACTTTAGGCACTTATCACCGCTGCACCTACACACACACACACACACACACACACAAACAGATTTATTATAGCAGAACTTTAGGCACTTATCACCGCTGCCACATTCATACACACGCACACACACACACACACGCACACACACACACATTTGTGAATCACCAGTCTAGGAGCTGAGGCTGTAATGGCCACACAGCTCCCCACTGCTTTGTGAATAAAGGACATATTTTTGCTCACTCATCCTCAGAGTCACAAAACATTTAAGCGACATAAAAGAGACGTTCTACCACCGATGGGAAAGTGATGTGACTATTTATTCATCCACTTTCTCTGAAAATCCTCACTCAGTCGCAGTGAAAAAAGGTTATAATGAGCTCAAATACATTCTCAGGTCGTTTGGCATCGAGTTCACGGCTTGTTTTTCTTCTGCAACAAAGAAGCAGCGGTTTATATTAGAACAGAGACGTCAATCATGAGGTTTATTGTGATTAGGGCTTTATAGTTAACATCAAAAATACCATTTCCAGATTTTAAGACGCTACTTATTTCTAGTTCTCTGATCCCTGCGGCTAATATGTGTTTTTCTTTATAGCTTCGGTCGAGCAGAGTTTATGGACTTATTATTTTGAGTTTTAGTAGCAACAGGACACTTATCGTCAACAAAAAAGATGATTAAAAACCTTGGCATTAAATCATGTCGTGTCAGGTTAAAACTGTTGTCTCTCTGCTACATTAAAACATGAAAACCTGCGACTTTTATTCAAGTGCGGCAAAATGTACTTTATTTTCAAATGTTGCTGGTGTGGCTTATTTACAAGTGCCTTATTGTCCTCTAATCGATTGGTTGACTCTTTTCTGATGATTAAAAGCCACAAAACATATATTTTGCATGACTTTTAAGTAGTCAGGACGCCACACAAAAACAGAGGATTAGGCTATAAATAAATAGGTATTGATAATCAACCAAAACAAAGCTCGAGTGACGCCCCTGGAGAAAATCCTCATAGAGAGAAAATGTTACACAGTGGGTTGTTTGATCATAAATACTTAGAATAGAATTATCTGAGTCATAAAAGATATGACTCAGATTATATCATATCTTACGTAAACGTGTCCGAATGTTTAAGTCTATGGAAGGGTCAATGTATTTTTTTATCATTTTGTTAGAGGGCTTTGGGCTGAGAGCTGATTGGCTGAGAGAAGGTGGTCCTCTCTTTTACACTGTCTGAAAAACCTGATCCAAAGCTGTGACAGAGACAATACAACTAGATAGATAGATATAAAGATAGATAGATACATAGAGAGATACATAGAGAGATGATAGATAGATAGATAGATACTGTACTCGCGTCTTTGCACTGGCTCCCTGTTCATTTTAGAATTGATTTTAAAATTTTACTGTTTGTTTTTAAATCTTTGCATGGACAGGCCCCTGATTACATCTCGGACCTCATCCAAATTTACACTCCTGCGCGCGCCCTGAGGTCCGAGAGCCAGCTCCAGCTCGTGGTCCCTAACCCGGGGGGACAGAGCCTTCTCTGTGGTCGGCCCTAAGCTCTGGAACGCTCTTCCCCTCCATGTCCGGACGGCCCCCACTGTAGAGTGTTTTAAGTCTCGTCTGAAGACCCACTTTTACTCTTTGGCTTTTAACACTGCGTGAGTTGTGTGGTCCTCTGTGTTTTTATTTTATTTTATTTCTATTTATGGTTTTAATCTGTTTTATATATTTTTATTCTTTTTTACTTGGTGAAGCTAAGGATAAGTTGTTATTTATTTTATACTTTTTTGTGCAGCACTTTGGAAACGTAACTGTTGTTTAAATGTGCTATATAAATAAAGTGGATTGGATTGGATTGGATTGGATTGAGATATAAAGATAGATTTATACATAGAGAGATGATAGATAGATAGATAGATGATAGATAGATAGATATATAGATAGATAGATAGATAGATAGACAGATAGATAGACAGATAGATAGATAGATACATAGAGAGTTGATAGATAGATAGATACATAGATACATAGAGAGATGATAGAGAGATAGAGAGATGATAGATAGATAGATAGATACATAGAGAGATACATAGGTAGATAGATATATATTTTAGTGATAGAACCAGTGTTTTGAGAATTGTATGCTATAGGTAAAGGTGCACTTTGGTAATCCCCGTAGAGCAATTTGTCCTCAGCATTTGACCCATCCTGATGCCACTAAGGCTTATGTCAGGAGTAAAACATATGTGGTTTTAAAGTTACATATCCCAGCTTTAAGTCCATACAGTTTGATGTAATGTAGACCAATATCCAGCTTTAAAATTGTTCAGTGTCCATAAAGAACTTTCTCATAAGTTGTTAAATGTAACTATTGTTTGACCAGAATATTTAAAGCCCATGTGGTTTTTAATTGCTCATTTCTGTCTTCTGCTGCTGTTGCAGCATGAGGTCTCATCATTCAGAGGTAAACAGAACAATTACGGGATCAATAAACCACTTCGAAAGCACTAAATATTATACTCCCATTCATTTATAGGCTTTTATTCTGAAGACACGGCTAATTATGGGTCTGAATGTGATCGATACCGGAGTGCACCGTTCACAGCTTTTAATGGCTGAATAATTGTTTGTAATGAGTATTTAACTGGTCCATAAATTCACCAATCAACAACAGTGGCTGCAGTCAGAGAACGGTTTCATGAAGATCTATCAATTTCTCAACTTTTGGAACCGTGGGCTATAATTGCGGGCTTGAATACTGCTAACAATAACAAGTATTTATACAAAACAGGACAAACTTGCTTACAGCTTTGAGAAAAAATATGTCATCGCTGCTTTGATCTAAAACTCCAAAACAGCTCTCTTTTTTGCAGTGTTTCAGTCTCGTCTAAACTTTTATGATTTGTATTAATTTTATGACTCCGCTCAAATTTGCGTAAGCTATGATTGTACTTGTTATATAGCTTTATTGCGAGTGAAATCAAAAGGGGCAGTTTTATTGCTTAGCATTGTTAGCAAAGCCTCATTATGTTGCTATAGCTAATGTAGCATGTAGTAATACAATACTGGCATTTTAGACAGAATTCACTAAACAAACAGTTATCATCAAATTTGCAGGTTTTCTGGTTAATTCCTTGTTTTAATAATGTCCCCGTGTTTTATGTCAAATGTGACTGTAATTTTACGGTTGAATCTGTCTGGAGTAATGTCCCCAATTTGGCAAGAATGTAGATTTGTCTGAATAATCTGGTTGCATTTTATAATGAAATCAGAACAGAGCAGATACTGTACTGGACTTGAATGACATCATCTCTCAATCCCACTGGTGACATCATCTCTCAATCCCACTGGTGACATCATCTCTCAATCCCACTGGTGACATCATCTCTCAATCCAACTGGTGACATTATCTCTCATCACTCTGTTATGTCATTATAGCAGAGTGTAGATGCCTCAGCCGACAGCTACTTAATTAGCTCAGTTTAAAGCAAGCTGGGTTTGACTGAAACTATTCTTCTTCTTCAATGTTCAATAACTGTATCCAAACAAAAGAAATGACCAGGAGTTGATACGTTTTTTACGAGCTGATACATTGTAAATAAGGTTGTAAATATATTGGGGGGGGGGGAATTGACACATGGGTAAACTGTAAAAAAAAATTGCCTCCTCAGTGTGTGTGTGTGTGTGTGTGTCGAATACATTAGTAACATGAAAGTAAAGTATTAATTTCATATCAATGTATTTTTTAAAACCCATTTTTCTTAACAGCAGGTGTCTCAGAGGACTTTACATCGTTGTCAATTTTCCAGCAACAGAATATAGAATCAAACAATTACTTTATTCTTGTTATAGTTCAATTAGAGTTTTAAAAATGTATGTGTGGTTGTGACCTGTTACATATTCACTGCTAGACGCATGAGGGGCCGATAAAGTATTTATCTATCTATCTGTATATATATGAATGTATAATTCTCTGGTTCACAAAGAGGTTCATGTGTACCTGTCTGAAGGCCTCTCCTCCTTCGCCTTTGGACTGCTGAGCCAGAAGCAGCAGTTTCTTATTCTTCTCGTTTCTCTTGTGAACTTTGTAGAGACACGACAGCAGACACACCAGCAGCATGAAGGCCACCAGTCCCAGCATGGCCAAGATCGCCACAGTCAGGTTTGGAAGCTTATAGGCTGCAGAGAGATCACACAGGGAGACATCACCGGGACTGTCAGACTCAAGGACTAAACATGGGGAGGCAGCGATTCTGATTCATGCAGCTCAAATCTGGAACCGTCTTCCTGAAAATAGCCAAAAGGATTATTTTTAGCTGTGCCTATTACTGATCATGATGAGGCAGCGGACCATATAAGGTGTTGTTTTATACGGTTGATTATAAAATGTGTCAATGTGAAGCACTTTGGGTTTAATTCTCTATGAACTGTGCTTCAGAAATACATTTTGATTGATTCATTTGTTAACTTATTTTTGTGCCAAGTCCTAGGTCAGAGAATTGTTATTTCAAAGGTCCTTTCTCCCTCATGCTATCCTCATGTGAAAAACAAGCTCCTTACGCTCCACCTCGATGTAAACCAGGGCCACAGAGTTCCCAGCCAGGTCTGTGATCCTGAAGACTCCGGTGTCGGACTCGTGGAGCTTCTTCATGTGGATCACAGCGCCCTCTACTGTCAGCCGGCCCTCCAGCTGCGGGTCCAGGGGAGACACCACCACGCCCTGCTCCACCACGGCCCGGTCCTGGCTGTCCCCTTTGGGCCTGTAGACCACGCTGACGCCCGAGTGGTGCAGGTACGTGTTCATCTTCAGGTTGGCGCCGTAGGAGAGGTGCATGAAGTTCTGGTGCTCTGGAAACATGAGAGAAAGACAGTTCCATGTTCAATATTTCTGTCATTCACTAGTCACTTTACCTGTGGATATTGCTACTATTGTTTATTCTGCTCATGTTCTCTGTTTGCTAAATTACAATATAAACATCTGTAAATACTTCTGAACCAAGTACAGTTATAGCTCCAGAGTTTATTTTATTCTATTTTATTCTATTTTACTTTCTTACTGTCAATTGTCTGTAATGTGCATCGATGACACTGAACTTCCCCACTGTGGGACGAATAAAGGAATATCTTATCTTTTCTCTTCATGTGCTGGTAGTGTCTCGGAAAAATAAGTGAATCCTTCAGTGTTGTTCTAAGTTACAAAGAATAGCCCAAGTAAACTAAACACTTTTCTTAAGATTGGACAAAATAATATTGTCCTATTATAGAGGATGATGGACTAAGGGCTATAGCTAACAATTATTATGGTTACCCAACAATGTGTCAATTATCACCTTTGATTAATTGATTAATCTACTTTTGACATTGTTAACTACTATTTAATATATATTACATGAAAAGTATTTATTAAAATAAAATAAGCCAAAAAAAAAACCTTCAAAAAGGCAAAGAAACTGTTGTAGTTCATAAACCTTCACTTGCTTAGGAAATGGTTTAATATTTAATCATTCTAGAAGCCTTTCATTGTTACAAATGGCTCTGAGGAACACAGGGACTGACCTCCTGATGGTTCCCAGAATCAGGACTGAACATGGGGAGGCAGCGTTTCAGATTTATACAGCTAAAATCTGGAAGAGTTCCTGAAAATGTGAGACAGGCTTCTTCTGTGCAAATCCAGGTTAAAACAGTACTGTTTAGCTGCATACAACTGAGGGATATTATCTTAACTCTTTTTCATGTATTTTGATCATTTATGTGGGATTTAAAAAGTTTTTACTTCTTCCCACTCCCTTTCGAACTTTCTTGTGGTCATTTTTGTTGTTTTTTTGTGATTTTGTATTGCTTCTCATATTTTTTATTTTTTATTGTTTTGTCTTTTGTTTTCAAACAAGAATAGAAGTACAGAGTGTACAAAGAAGCTTTTTTTCTTTTTTTTTATGTATTAGGAACTGCCATGACGATGGATTGACAACAAAGTTCGAAATGAAAATATTGATTGATTGATCGGTTATAATGCTTTTACTCCTTTTCTTTTACTGTTTTGCAAAAACCTGCTCAGGGTCTGCAGCAGTAAATTAGCAATCCCACTTTTGGTACGTACAGTGCATCTCTCCTTTTGACTAATGCTACTACATGCCCTGAAACCAAAAATATTACCAAATAAAGCACAGTTCAGAAGACACATCTTTGAGTATCAAAGTGTCACCTCTGACGTTGAGGCAGTTTCTCCGTCTGACTTTGCCGTTGCGGTCGTAGACGGTGAAGCTGCCCTCGTCAGACATCCTGACAGAGCGCAGAGTGGCCTTCCTCTGGCTGACGGAGAGGCGGCCCTCGTACTCCTCCAGCAGGACGCTCTGGTTAAACAGCAGCACTGAAGGCGGCTCTGTGGGCACCGTGTCCGTCTGGTTTGTGGGACTCATACTCGGCCTGAACATGTCACAGCAGAATAGTTTACACATTTTCATACGTCTGTTTGGGTTGGGAGTTCGCAAAAATAAGACAATTTAACAGTAGAGCAATATTTGGGCAACAGTTCAATATTATTGTGATTCTTAACATCCATCCATCCATTTTCTTTCGCATGGGCAAGTGCATAATCTAGGGCATTGGTGTCAAACTGGTTCCAGAGAGGGCAGGCTTTAGTTACAACCAGAGCAGAAGCACAGCAGACTACACCCATTTCCATAGGTGAGTCAAGATTTGGGGATATGGTTGCAGTCTGGTGTGTTCCTGCTCAGGTTGGAACTAAAACCTGCAGCGACACTGCTCTTTCTGGAACTGGTTTGACACCCCTGATCTAGGGTAAGGGACCTTATTACAGACAAGACATCACTATTCTCTGAGTAGACGACTCTCACATGAATGCAGAGCTCCCAGCACTTCACTTACATTAATCACAGACAGAGTCACAACAAGCAAACATCATAGAGCAATATAAACCTCTGCTCTAAATTGCCAGAGTAAACTTGCATTAAATATCGCAATAATTTGCTCTACTGAAACGATTCTATTCAGTATTGTGCTCAAAGTATCACTATACTGAACAGAATTGATTTTTTTCCCCACCACTGTCATCTCTGCACAATTATGTCATCTTCTTGGCCCAGTATGTTTATGGGTAAACAACCTCAGTTTTCTTGAACATCTTTAACATCACGACATCATAGTCTGTGATGTAGTAGTAACAGTAACTAATAACAAACAAACCTGAACTCCAGAGCGACTGGCCCCTCCACGTGGCTGAGGTGGATGTCATAATGGTCCCCATATTTTACTATCTGCTCCATGGCACAATCTGAAACATTGAAATAATATTAGAATATCAGCAAATTATATTTTTTATGCTTTTCTAAGAAGCCAGACCCTCCTCCCCAAAACTAACAGCTACTAACAGCCGAACTGTTCTAGTCTGTATGTTCCCGGGCTGAGAGTCCGTTCCTTTCTGTCGAGTCTCGGTACCAACGCTCACCTCTGACGATGACGGTGAGTTTCTTGACCAGAGCTGACGTGTTGCTCTTGATGATGTACAGCCCCTCGTCCTTCTCCTGCAGGTTCTCCAGGATGATGTGTCCAGGGGACGTGAGGCGGACTTCAGGCCCAGAGAGGTCCCCCTGCGGCTGGGGAGACAGGACCTGCCCCCCCTGGAGAAGAGCCACCTCCACGGACAGGTTGGTCTTGGGCCTGAACACCAGCTCCCCCAGCTCCTTCGGCCGCACGTTGATGTACAGGTCCTCCCCAAAAAAAGCTGTTCTGTGCTCATCTTTGACTACGGACGAAAAGGAGCGAGTCAGATGCTACCATTACAGCTGAAAAATATGTACACTGCAAAAAGGGATCAATTATGAGGTAGTAATTGCTTGAATCATAATTGGAGTACAGACTGTTACATTAAGATTTACCAATGGGACAAAGCCATTTCTTCTCATTTCAAGAACTGTTGCTTTATCTTATCTTTATCTTATCTTTATTTCTCATTCCAACGGAGACATTTCTTGTATATTATACATTTGAGCATTATTTGACTTTAAAAAATTAATAAATTATGAATTATGAATCATTTAATTATTTCACATCAAACACGTGTATAATTTCAACATAAAACAACAGGATACCAATACATGCATAATAACCATCCATCCATTTTCTTCCGCTTCATCCGACTTCATCAGACTTCCCTATCCACACACACCCAAGGCGTTCCCAGGCCAGCTGAGAGACATAGTCCCTCCAGCGTGTCCTGGGTCTTCCCCGGGGTCTCCTGCCGGTGGCACGTGCCCGGAACACCTCCCCGGGGAGGCGTACAGGAGGCATCCGGAACAGATGCCCGAGCCACCTCAGATGCATAACAGATCCTTGTTTTTCTCTGCATTTCTCTTATTGTTTGCAATTAAAAAAAACTATAATTTATGTGGAATTATGAATTTTAGTCTGCTGTGAGGCTCAAGAGTGGATGTCATGCATGTTTTAGGGTCAATGAAAGAAAAGTTTTAGTACCTAGTAGCCCTAGTAGATGAAGCTGTTGTATATAACTGAAAAGAGTCTTACCTTTGGGAGAGGCTAGAGCCACTGCAAGAGGAAAGAGAGACATGGAATTAGCACAGGTTTAGGATGTAAAAAGAGGTTAAACAACATTCATGGACATCGATTAACATTTATGGACATTGGTCATCTGCCCCTTACGGACCAATGGCTCTATGTGTTTTTTTAATTGTTGCATTTCCTGTATTTGAACTAGGGCAGGGCGATATGGCAAAAAAGTAAAATCTTAATTTTATTTCCTGCTTTGGACAATTTTGATTTTAAATAAATTACAATCATTACAAACTTTGCCCTTAAAGATATTTTGTTATCGTTCCGCTCAATATTCAAGCTTCAAAACAATTTTTAATTTGTTTCCCCCATTACGTTTTATAAAAGTCTTGCACAGACTGTGCTGATGCAAGTGTAATTCATGCATTGCTGGAACTCTCACAATATCCTTCTTTTGATTTCACGATTTTCACATTTTTCGCAAATTAGATTTTTTCAAAAGCCTAAATTTGATTTATTGCCCAGCCCTGATTTGAACTGTTTGATTCTCTGATCTTGTGATTTGAATTGAATTGAAGTAAGTGAACTCATAAACACAAGGACAAACAGATTTGTTAAACAGGTGTAGTAGGAATGGTGCTTTGTGCTTACCCGAGCAGAACAGGACTCCACACACCGCAGCCGTGAGTACATTCATGTCCAAAAGTCTCCCTACAGACACAGCACAGAGCAAACTTTCAATCAGGATATGAGTTAAGAGGATTATAAAGTAATTATAGAAGTGTTCATTTAAAGATTAGACTTCATTTGACGTAAGGAGTCACTCTTTTCATGGCAGAAAAGTGAATTCAATATTTTCTGTAACCGGGTCTCATTGAGATGATTTTGTGATTGGTTGAGTCTATGTGGTATGCAAATTATATAAATAAATAGCATAAGATGGTCAAGAATACAAACAGAGTATGTGCATTTTCACATAGGCCTATGAGGCTTGATATAAATGGTATATTTAACAATCCATAAGGTTGCATTTTTTCGTTTATTATTGTACATAATTATATCCTGCACAGACTATATTTCTAAACTTTGAGTGATTCTATCTGTGCCAAATGTGACATGTAAATTTCTCCATCTCATCTTATCTTAACAGAAAAACACATTTTGTACGGCAGCTACATGTATGTTTTTATTGTGATTTGTATTGATATATTTCTTTATTGTTTTATTTTGGTCATCACAGAGTAACAGTTCAAACAATATATAATAAGGAATTGCACCCAAAAAGGAATAGGCAGAAGCAGTGCTGATTTGAGCCTGTCCAATTTACCACCAAATTGAAATTTTAGCTTAATTTCTGTTGAAATTGAGTATTTTTAGCTTGCACCTGTATCTCTGCCATTCTCTGAAACAGAGCCAGACAAAACAACAGTAAATTAACATACATCCCTGGGGACAATAGCAAAACAATGTAATGAAGTCAACTGGCTCAGACTTTGACCTTTCACTGGATTAGAGCTGAATAATTAGATTGACCACCGAAGAACTACAGCAGGGACTATAATAACTGCAGAAATATAGTCAATTAACACAGGGCAACCACAACATGCACGTAACCAGTGTTTCCCATAAAAACCTGAAAAACAATTAAAGTCGATATTCCCAAAATATACATCCCGATATGTAATTGAAATTGATAATAAAATGAATAATATAGAATTATACAGAAAACTGGATGTGTCTTTAGTCAAGACCTCTCCTATTGTGTGGTATCAGTCTAGTGTAAGAATACACCCTTTTTCTAAAGTGTTTTTGTGACTGTGAGTGAAGAGCTATATATAATTATGACTTACTTTAGTTCAGTTTATTAAGTGTCTGCTGTCCCAAAGGGAGGCTCCACTGACGCCTCATGTCTTTCCTCTACCTCATGTCTTTGATGTTCAAGACCAAAAGAATAGAGTACAAAATATATATGTTTTACCATCTTTTACTTTTCTCTTTGGGGTAAATGTATTGTATGGGGTTTGAAGTATTGATCCAGGTGATAAACTGTGGGTACAAAGTAAAAAAAATTGAGTGATTTAGTGCATGCATGAGACTGTATATAGTGTGGATGGACAATGCTAACCCGCTGGCAAAGGCCAATATTAAAACTTCTTTAGCTCAGTAAACCCTTGTGAGAAACACCCCATTCTGGGCTTCAAACATTTTTATTTTAGCGCTCTGAGTTTTTAGGGTATACAGAATATCTCTGTAACAATCTGTGGAAAATGAACCACACAGAAACGGGATCGTGGCACATCAGAGCTTCTGGAAGTTTGTTCAGTTTCCATCAGGTTTCAGTTGTTTCAGGCCCTGTTGTCTCCGTGTAAACTCAGCCTCAGTTTTTTCAGACACAACATAGTCAGGACTAAGGCCCTGTTTATACTGAGACGCTGCGCAGACGTTTCAAGGCTATTAACAGAAACGACCAGGCTCCTAATGCAAATTTCTCTGCGTTCACATGAGGTTGAAAAACGATGTAGTTCTAGCGCCCGGCCAGTAGTGGGCAGAGAAACTTTACAACACGACACACGACCCCCAGCCCCCCTCCCGGCAGTATATTCACTTCCTGTGCCAGACCCTCAGAACGCACCAACATCATTCTGCATTTTAACAGCAGCTGTGAATATGGGAACTGAACCTAGAGCTTCGCGTGGTCTCGTTTGGACGAACGTGCCGCACTGGAAGCCCACGAAGCTAGTTAGTGTGACCGCCGCCATTGTTGTTGATGTTTGTTCTCCGCTACTGCGCATGTCCAAATTTACGTGCGGGGAGCAGCGCGGAGGCGGGGGTCAGAGCAGAGGGGGTTTAGACACATTTTCCCCTCTCGCGGTTGTGAAAGAGCTCCTTGCTTCTCGCGGTTGTGCTCTTTCACAACCGCGAGAGGTTGTGAAAGAGCTCCCTCACGGTTGTGAAAGAGCTCCCTGCTGTGCAGCGTTTCTGAGTTGTCCCACTCTGCAGGCTGGATCTGAACACTTACGTTTTCACCCCCCTGGAACACAGTCTTCGTATGAACGGTTGGTAGCAACTGACATCCAACTATACCGTTTTACTGCCACATTGTCTCCGTGTAAACTCAGCCTAATATGTTCTGATTGTCTTTGGATGCGACACGTACAGTATGCCTTTCTATGTGTGACCTATCTGTGACGTAACAGTGACTATAAAAACTATGGCTGAGTTTACACGGAGACAATGTGGCAGTAAAACGGTATAGTTGGATGTCAGTTGCTACCAACCGTTCATACGAAGACTGTGTTCCAGGGGGGTGAAAACGTAAGTGTTCAGATCCAGCCTGCAGAGTGGGACAACTCAGAAACGCTGCACAGCAGGGAGCTCTTTCACAACCGCGAGGGAGCTCTTTCACAACCGCGAGAGGTTGTGAAAGAGCTCCCTCGCGGTTGTGCTCTTTCACAACCGCGAGAGGTTGTGAAAGAGCAGGGAGCTCTTTCACAACCGCGAGAGGGAGCTCTTTCACAACCCCTCTCGCGGTTGTGAAAGAGCAGGGAGCTCTTTCACACCCGCGAGAGGGGAAAATGTGTGAAATCCCCCTGTGCTCTGACCCCCGCCTCCGCGCTGCTCCCCGCACGTAAATTTGGACATGCGCAGTAGCGGAGAACAAACATCAACAACAATGGCGGCGGTCACACTAACTAGCTTCGTGGGCTTCCAGTGCGGCACAGAGGAAGATTCTACTTCTTCGTTCGTCCAAACGAGACCACGCGAAGCTCTAGGTTCAGTTCCCATTTTCACAGCTGCTGTTAAAATGCAGAATGATGTTGGTGCGTTCTGAGGGTCTGGCACAGGAAGTGAATATACTGCCGGGAGGGGGGCTGGGGGTCGTGTGTCGTGTTGTAAAGTTTCTCTGCCCACTACTGGCCGGGCGCTAGAACTACATCGTTTTTCAACCTCATGTGAACGCTGAGAAATTTGCATTAGGAGCCTGGTCGTTTCTGTTAATAGCCTGGAAACGTCTGCGCAGCGTCTCAGTATAAACAGGGCCTTAGAGTGACAGTCATAACATGGATACACAATGGAGTCCTTGTGACTGTGAGGGCCAGATATTTTGTCTTGCGTTTATCCCCCTGCGTAGGACATAGCTATCTATCCACCATAAATTGACCAATCAGGCGTCTTCTGTCCCTGGATTCAGCTTTAGCACCGAATAGTGTGAGAAGGGACAGACCAGTGGTGCTCCTGATTGGCTCGAAGTTGATTGGTTGTTGCCATCTACAAATTTGCAAACAATAGGCTGCAGATTCCCCCTCAAAAAGCTTATTTAGTCTAGCTATAATCAAAACTCAAATTGAATCTAGAAGAATTGTGAAACCCCTAATGCATACAAATGTTTGTAGCATTGCTTCTTTCTAAACTGCTGCAGTGGACTCAAACTTTCTCCTTAACAAGCTTTTCCTCATTCTGCTTTGAATCCTATCCACCATTCTCGAGCAGTTCTCGTTCTTGCTGACGTCTTTTATTACTCAACACCCTTGACACTTCTGTTTCATTTGGATGAATAGTCCTGGAGCTTTTTCCTGTATGCATTGTCTGGTTGTTGCTAAAGCTGCAGGAACAAAGGAGGAAACCAAGATACGTTAATGAGATATGCAATTAACAGAAGCAGCATCGGACACAAAGCCAAGAGTCAACGACAGAGGAATTCTAGCTGACAATACGAAACAGAAATCTGTATTCATGTATATGAAGCAGGATGGAAATGCTGGTCCACATGTTCGACATGTTTATTGATAATGTGCTTCTGCATCTACTACATAAATCAAGTGATAAAGAGAAAGAGGACGTTGGGGAACATGTACTAAAATAGTATCAGTCCAGCAGACATTTCAACCGTAAAGCTCTAACTCCCCTCAAACTGGAAAAAGGACATCCAGAGATTGCAGCCTTAATGGACAATGGAAAATGACCAGGCATCAGGGACCAACCTCAGAGAAGCAATTATTCAACTGGAACTGGAAATGCAGGGGAGATGCAATGCGGTCTCACTGCAGAGTGCAAAACAGACACTAAAATCCCAACTTGTGGAAGTTGCTGGTTGCCAACACAAACCAGTTGTTTATAGTGCAGCCTGATATATAACAGGTGTTTTGGAGCAGTCCCCAGCCTGTGATGGATGCCCCCCTGTCTGAAAAGTCATCCACTCTCACAGGACTCATTTAATCCATAAATGTCCTGACTCCTGTTGTTTCCTTTTAACCATGTAACAGCATTGTTCCCTTATGAAAAAATATGAGATGTTTTTGGCTCCAGCTAAAACCAATGTTAAACTATCTACTACTCATGACAATGTAAAAATCTAGGTTCAAAACAGGTCTGTTTAGCTGTGTATAGATGGTTTTCCATTGACGTCACGCACTGCCCACAATTCCGCAGTTCGTCCTATTGGCTGTCTAGCCGCCGCTAGTTGAAGGTAAACAAAGCGCTCAAATCACTTTTTTGCGCTAAAACATGCCGACTACCTGCGTTGTTTGGGGGTGCAGTAACCGTACAGATTGTGGGGACATTCCAAAGGTTATTACGAGCCAGGGGAGCAACTCTTGACGGAGAGAAGAACCCCTGTAGTTAGGCGAGGATCAACCCTAACCCCCTGAAAAACGGCACTATAAGGTCTGTTCTGACCATTTCATAACAGGTAAGAGCTAAATCTGTGCATG